ACACCTGGGCATACAGAGTCTAGAAGGCGAGAGGTACAAACGATTCTGATGTACACGACAATCGCTTAAGTCCAGCAAGCCATTGCCAGCCCCTGCTGCTGACTGAGACTTACGTCAAAGCTCGCCTCCTCCGTCTACTGGGAACAGCGATCCTATCACCCTGTGTGCTCCCAGACGATTGGACTTCCCACCCGGATTCCGTCTGCAGACGAATTCGCCGGCTCCCTGCAGCACACACCCCGTATGTTTCAAACGTACGCTTCTGGGGGTGCTCCGCGGCCAACACCGGGTGGCCATTCGGATTGATCGGAGTGCCATCCTGTGGTGCTGTCTATAGCGCAGGGTGTGTAACAGGCGGTCTTAGTTTTGTGCTCAGGCCAGATGAGTGGGTCGACTCGTCTGGACGGTCTTAAAGAGATGACTTTTCTGCCAAAAGACTCATCCGGCGACAGCAATATCTGCAGCATTCATTTATTGATGGAGATGTTGTTCTTCAACAGCATTTGTAATGGCGCTGGGGAAACACGAATTTGAATGCATATGGATCTCCAAGATTTTAGTTTAGTGGTTGTACCGCATCATGACAACAGATGAACTATTTTGAATGAAATAAAAACAATTGCACTTGCATTCATGTCGAGTAAGCAACTTTGATATTAATAGAGTACTTTAGCCGCCACTAGAGGAAAATTAGGTCAAAGTAATGCTAATACCCCCGCACATCTAACGCTTCTTTCCTCCTGACGCACAATTCTGTCTACTCGACATATAAGTCGACGCGTCTCAGCAAGGAGTCCATTGGGAATGGATGACTTCCACGGCTGTGTGGGCACTCTGTGCGATTAAGAAGGCATTTGAATACCCAGCGAAAAAACGCCTCCCCATCTCCGCACTGATTTGCGACCGACAGATCCTGCCGGTCATAGACACGGGATGAAACTTTACAGTTACCGAAACCTACATCATCGATATTTACATCACGCCATTATACATCCACGAAACCTACATCGCAGATCCAGACATACAAACAAACTTGCAGAAGCTAAAATAAACAAGAAGACAAGTTAAGTTTCATGCTGCTACATCGCGTCGTTTCCTATACACTGGCAGATGAATCTCAGATGGACATTTTATATTTTAAAAGTCACCTGTCCCTGACTTAGTAGGCCAGCTTGTGACCTGACATCTCAAGGCCTGTCGCCAACTGCGAGATCTCACTGAGACCAATCCACCTGTTTCCCCCACCGAGCCTCCATCATTCTTGGTTTGGAAATGTCAGGGGACGCGTCTCCCCGCCTGTCTGTTCGCGACACGAAAGACAGTGCGTCCTGACGAAGGTTCAGCTGTAGCATGCGAATAGCAATGCATTATAAACTGATAATAACCACTTGCCATGCACCAAAATAGCACCACCAAAGACAGTAATAAGCTCAAAATAAACGGATATGCGTCGCTGAAAACCACGGTAGAACTATGCTGCTAATTACAAACGTCATTACTGTGCAGCTTCCGTCGAACAGCGTGTTACGGTGCGCCGTTGAATATTGAGAAGAAAAATGGAGCTAGCAGTCTTAAAGTTGCTAGCGGAAGCAGCAAAAATTTACTTTTGACGAAGCAAGAAGCAGAGAGACGAGGCTTCATACCTGTTTAGACCTTCTGCAACTTGGCGGTCAGAGTGCAACACACAGCAGGAGAGGTGGGTTGTAAAATGGCAGTCCCTCCACATTGGGACATGTTACGCCTTAGCTAACAAAGTATCGAGATCCGGGCGTAAGGTGAGAAGAGCGGGCCCTCTCACCGTTGTCGACGCCGCTTTGGAGCAAATCTGACAGTGAACGGTTCGAAATAGACATATAGGGCAGCTATGGAGCCAAAACAAACTAGACTGACATATGTGGAGATAAACGGTCCTTGAGGTGGGCACTTTCTCATGACGCCAATGGAAATTGGTACAAAGTTATCTGGAAGTACGAAACACATTAGTCTTACGAGGTCTTGGTTTCGTCTTTGACACATTTTTTTCCATTATCTTACTTTCACGCGCGTATTGTGTCACCGGTGATTATTAGTGTTCCATGTGCAAGATTGCCACATAAATCACTCAAAATATCTTCGCTTACTGTCCTTAAGTAAAAACACTTCTGGTATGATTGTTCGTTGCTTATTTTAACCCGCTTCAGGTGTCTAACATATAATGTTTTATATGTTTTTTATCCTTACCTGCTCATATTAATATGCCTATAATCATGCCAGAGGTCTTCCGTATGATATGAAGATATGAAAACATTCATATATTGCTGCTACCGCATTCCAATGGAGGCTAATTAAAACGCAAAACATCCCTTCCATAAAATTAGCTTTGGTTTACAGTGGGTTTTTATCAAACTGCACAACTGAGCTGACTGAGCGCTGGTTGACTGAGGGCAGCAGCTGCAATGGGAACACGCAAACAAAAAGCAAGAAGAGATCGGAACGCATCCTAAACTTTTCGAAGCAAGTTGTCACTTGGTAGAGTACTACGACGGCACAGCTATGGACCGGGCGGCAAAGACAAAAATCCTCGACTCTTCGGCCGACATGTTCTCGAGAAACGGTACCATCCATGCACAAACCACAACGCCAAACGATAGCCTGCACTTGCCACTAGTGCGGTTAGAAAACGGAAAGAAATCGACTTCATTCCGAGCCGTGAAGAGGTGGAGCGCACCCTCACAGGGTAGTGGAAGATTTATCGTCCTTGATGTTCTGGGCCAACGTGAGGAGCACGAAAGTTCCGAAACGACAGCCGTAAGAAGTTGTTTCTATTGAATGTTTGCCGTTGGGTTTGTGCTGTGGGTGAGCGTGGACTTTTCATTGTATGCTCAATGCGAAAAACGTATTACTGATATTTTGTTGTAACACTACTATGAAGTGTCTCCAGACATCTCTAGTGTGGTAGATGAAACTGCAGCTTTGCGGTACGCTTCTCTAGATGCCACTATCTCCGCGATATATACAAATCTCCAGTCACATACAATACAAATGTGTTGCAACAACGGTGATATTCCCAAAAGAAGTAATGAGCATTACGCATAAATGTCCTTACTGCGATAGAACTACATAAAGTAGGTGACAAAGCATGTAACGTGCTCTTGTCTTTCCCAGCTGTCCAATACATCATCATCCATGTGGCTATTTTCTATATTCTTGTTGACTGCACAACATGTTGTCATCTTGAATGTTTCCAAAAAATGCGTTACGGCATTGTATTTTCAGTAGCCTCCATATTCCCGGAATAAAACTGATTTATAAGCAACCAATTTTATGTATCCAATATTTATCATTAAAGCAACCAATATTATTTCATACAAAAAATAGTTATAGGTAGATTTATAAGTAGCCAATATCATGATGTATATGTCGCCAATCTGATTCGCAAAAAACACGGTCGCTGTGAGCTGATATAAAATCTAGACTATATAGATAAAGCCTCAGAGTCTCAGGAGCTCATCAGGACTCCCTTACACCAAGTGGAGTTTTGATGAGCGCCACCAGACTGCAGAGCCGACTCACTGATGTACTGAGTATCGTTGGCAGGTTTAAGGAGAGAGTGGTGTCTGTTATAGCATGCCCGAGGTGGATCACAGATACATATATTTTAAATCTACGCAATGGAAGTCACTCAGATGATGCACATCAGCGCCTTTTATCTTTCAGTGTACATCCATCTTCATATGTGCATGTGTCTTGGGGTGAGCACATCAAATCAGTTTTTTGCATGTTGATATCTGGCGATCGGTGGAAATGCATGTGCGCATGCGAATGAGATACATGTGCCATAGGCGTCGCAAAACATTTTGTGTCTGCTTTTCGGGCACTTTGGGTCCATACCTCCCTATATAGGGCTATAAGTTTTCTCACACCCATTCCCTACGCAACTATAACCTTATGAAATGATTATCAAACAGCATGTTTTTCAACACATCATTAGCGCACGTGGAGGAGAGTGAGTTGTGCCAACTGCGCATAGGGCATGTCATGCCGGCGATGCAACGTAACGGCAATGATGTCACTGATTCACGTGATGTCATTGATTCACGTGATGTCATTGGTTCACGTGATGCCTTCGACTGATTAGCCGTCAATGCTTGACAGGACTGTTTGCTATGACTTGATTTTTTAAAGCAATATGCGCAAACTTTTAATAACTTTGCCTTCAAAATTGCACGCGATCAACTAAAACCGAGGTGGCAAAACTTGTACCGAAAAACTCACTGTGGAGGCCAAAATTTGCCATGCCAGATTATAACTGATTACGAAACAACAGCTACAAGGGAGTTAATAGCATTATAATGCGTTTAAATCGCTTGTGATGTGGCCTGTTCCATGCACAATTTACCCTGGCGTAGAGGAGATTGCCTCAATAGGCACCTATTCAGAAGTGAGTTACTAAAAAACAAATATGCACTCTTCAAAACTTTACTGGTAGCAGACGTGGCTGAAGATAATTGCTGATAACACATATCAAATCATTCGTCTTATTCTCATTACTTATGGTACGAGGGAGCTCAGAGTAAAAACCGATGCAACTCTTCCTGCTCTACCATACCCATATCTTAGGAATGCCTGATTTTAGGAGGAGGCAGGAAACCCGAAATGTCTCCCAAACTGGGGAGAACATTTTGCGGTGACATCAATTTTTCATTATTTCCGTCGCGTCAACGCCCATAGCCCAGCACCAAGCCCAGCGCCTCACACGCCTTGACGTCCGCGACGGCGGATGCGGGCCGGCGCCCGGCTCCGAGACGCTGGCGTCATTTCTCGGGATCGGCGGAGCGGCGACACGGCCCTGGACGGCCGGCCAGCCCCGCTGGATTTACGGCCAGCGTCACACCTTGAACCCGGACCTGCAGGCCAGAGGCGAGTCACGTCGGGACGGTCGGCGCCGCGGGACCCGCCGGGATCGGCCTCTCCGCGGCCGCCAGACGGAGTCGTCACGTGACCGGCCCGACGGCCAATCAGCGCGCTCGCCAGCGCAGTCGGCGGTACTTGAGAGGCTTGGTGAGCCGCCGCGGAATCGGTTTCGCCAGTGTGTGACGATCTACAGCATGAAGGTCTTCGCTCTGTTGGTAAGTACAGCCTCTCGGTTTTGGAGGGCCAGGTGATGGTCGAGCGGCGGATGCGTATAAGACTGACGCGAAAGATCGAGCTTCACTCTTAAGCCGGAGCTCGTTTGACGACGATTGGACACCTTTCGAGGATCTTTGCTAATGGGCTGCTTTTTTCTTCCTATGAAGTTTTCATTGTTTGTACCGACCCGTGTCCAAGTTCTCTTCGTATCTTCTCTATCGTACCGCATTGCCAGTAAATGTGCCTGCTGCATAGCAGAACGCGACCCTGACACGGCCGAGTGAAAGTAAATGATTGTATATCATTCGTCTGATGTCGCACGTGGGCCAAACCCACGAGGACATCGTTATGCTTTTTGCCGAGAGCTAAAATATGGGAATTCCAGGTGGCAGTCATGTCGAGAAGCACGCCGTGCCTTTCCAGGATGGGACCTTCCTATATGCACTATGGCCACACAGAAGCAAATAGAGAACGCTATTGGTTGAAAGGGTGTCAATTCACAATCGTAACAAGCTCTTCCGATCTTTTGTGTCATGGGTGGTTGGCGGGTGTTTCAAAAAAGTGTATTCACGTCTTTCCATCCGGCTCCAAGAGCTCACATTTTTCGATAGATGTGTGCCGTCGTAATATTCACACGTGTGTTTACAGCAGTCTCAAGTTCCAAAATCAAATCTGAGAGGCTGCATGGTGCATTTTCACCGTCTTATTGTATCAGACGGGACGCACTGGTTGCCGTATCCTCACATCATCACGTGCCGCCGATCTGGGTCACCTCGAACCGGTCAGAACCAAGGTGACCAGGTACATCTGCACGCGGCCGCCAGTTCTCCTGAAATCATGACGACGCACTTCCCTGAAAGCTTCGTCGTCTACGCGCTACCTCAGTTCCGTTGGCTACCCGCACAGCGAAATCGGCTTCTGAAATTAAGCCGTAAACCCAGTTCGGCGTAGACACGAACTGCCGGCACTGCAAATTTCACTGAACAGGAACTGAACACCGGACCAATCTGACAAAAACAAAATCAGAGGCCGGGAGAATGACTCTGCGAAACCCTGACTGCAGATGAGTTTACTGATCACGTCGCCGGGGCTCTGCCGGAGTTGGCCCGCGGCGCCATCTCCCAGGCACGTCTGCGGACGACTGTGCACGCGGAAATCCGCAGCTCTGGCACACACACAGCGCAGTGATGCACGCAGCAATTCACAGTCTCCGGTCCTTGGCCCATCGAGCGTCACAGTCCGCTCTCACGGCTGGCTGAAGGCCGACCTGCTGAGCGCAGCGTCCGGACAAGTGCGGTGTCGAGGGGTGTGCTTTTGCATTATGCATTGCAGGATCCCATCACAGTGGCGGAGTCCTGCCGTGGAAATCCCCGCACTGACACACGTCGCGGATTATCCTTGATCCCCGCACCCTCCTGCTGCGGAGATCACAGTCCTGACGCACGTCGCGGATTATCCTGATCCCCGCACCCTCCTGCTGCGGAGATCACGGTCCTGACGCACGTCGCGGATTATCCTGATCCCCGCACCCTCCTGCTGCGGAGATCCCGGTCCTGACGCACGTCGCGGATTATCCTGATCCCCGCACCCTCCTGCTGCGGGGATCACGGTCCTGACGCACGTCGCGGATTATCTTGATCCCCACGTCCCTCCTGCTGCGGAGATCCCAGTCCTGACGCACGTCGCGGATTATCTCGATCCCCGCACCCTCCTGCTGCGGAGATCACAGTCCTGACGCACGTCACGGATTATCCTGATCCCCGACCCCTCCTGCTGTGGGGATCCCAGTCCTGACGCACGTCACGGATTATCCTGACTCCAAAACACAGAATCCAGTCGCGGCTCCAGCGCCTGTCTCAAAACCTGGTGTGGAAAACGCCATCTGTCCGGCGCTGCGCTGCAGCAGCGGTCCCCGCTAGGTCCGAAGGCCACTGCGTGCCCCCTCCGCACGTGTCCGCCCTCTTCGTTTCGAGGACCGGCTACGGATCGGCTCGCGCATGGTATTTGTTGGCGCGCGTTGGTAATGCTTGGCAGCGTTCCATTCCAACTGTGCCGCTAAATGAGCCGGTAAATGGCACGGCCTTGCCACGGACACGTGCCGTTCCTCGACTTCCGAAAACCTGAAGGAACAAAAGGGTTAATACGCATGCCGCAGATGAAATGCATCTCCGTGGCAAGCCTTTGGGACCAATTCAATGCATGAACGCAGTCGCATAAAACTGATTACTTTTATCAGCACAAGAGCTTTTCTACAGCGTAATGATATGCAGATTGCAGATGCATGCTAGCAACCAACACATGCCCAGAAACGACGCCAGAGTATAAGCTTACGTCAGCTAACACACCGCATCAGCAAACACCACGAGTGCCCACCATCAAATACTTCCCTTCACCATGATCATCTTGCACGCGACCAGCTACGAACATCCTCGCCAGAACCCCCCCCCCCCCCCTCCACAGATAATGTACAGTGGTAACCGAAGTGTCCTGCCTGCAAATGCTTGCAAGTATAGCGAAACACATACACACGAGGTCAATTGCATTCCACGTGACTTAGCGAAGGTTCAATGCTGACCGGTTGTTTGGCACCTCCCACAGAATGTCACACTTTCACTTTTTAAGCCACGTTCGGGATTCCCGACCACCCACTGTCTGTGCAGGCGTTAAAGGCAGATGGCGGGTAAATTGGTCATAATTCGTTCGAGTATACCATTTATATATTATATACTTTAGATGGTTTCGGGGAGTCACACAAGGGATATACTTGAACATGGTAGTCACAAAAACATACGGGAGGAGCAAATGTCCCAAAGTGCTTTGGGCTAATCATCTAGCCTTTTCTTCCCTCCCCCCCCTCTCTCTCTCTCTCTCTCTCTCTCTCTCTCTCTCTCTCTCTCTCTCTCTCTCTCTCTCTCTCTCTCTCTCTCTCTCTCTCTCTCTCTCTCTCATTCTTTCCTCTCTCTCCCTCTCTCCCTCCCCTCCCTTCTATACCTGACAGTAGATTTCATTGCTTTCCTGTTCTGCTTTTTTGTACATCTTTCTCCTGGCACATTCAAGCAGCAACGAATGTATTTCATAGGGCTCAAGAGCATTGCACTGAATTTGATAGAATTCCCTATGTGCATGTGGTGTTCTGTTAAATCCGTCGGCAATGGCCGCTCTCACTTTGCCAGCTGGCACCAGCTTTCAGATTCTTAAACCAGCGGTGTCGGAATTCCTTGACCTTGGTTACACGGCAGCGCCGGCCTTTCCGTGACCTCCGCGACGGCGTGCCCCTAACCCGGCAGCGCTGACCTCAGCCTGACCTTCATCGGCAGTGTCTGGCGGGCGCGGCGCTGGCCCGGCCAGAGAAGCTGGACGGGCTGCAGCACAGACTCGACGCGCACCACCACCACGACGCGCACGCGATCCCGGTGGCGCAGGTGCGCCAGGCGGCGCTGGATCTGCCAGCGCCGGAGCCGTACGAGGAGGACCAGGGCCCGCCGCGGCCCTACCAGTTCACCTACCAGGCCGGCCGCTACCCCAACCACGTGGACAGGACGCACAGGTCAGTCGCGTCAGGTCAAGCCGGGACGGGCGGCAGCTGGCGCTCGGGTGCGCCCACGCGACGCTGTCGGGGTCGCCGTGGGCGTGACCGTCTGCTCGAGTTGTGATGTCAGGAGTGAGTGAGCATGAGTGCCGTGTTGGTGCAACGGTGTCGGCAAGGCGCCAGATGAAGCAACAGCCGCCGGGAAAGCGGTCGGGTTGATTTGTGCATGAGGGACCGCGGCTTCGTTCATGTTTGTCGACCACCAAAAATACCACGCATCAGCGCCTGATCATCACCAAAATCAATCGCGTTCTGAAGCACACCATGCAGCAGGCTAACATTTGACTTCCGGAGAATGTTCGAACGGTTCGACTGTGCGCTCGAGTGTTGACCTCGTTAACGCATGGCTGTCGCGTGCCGCAGCGAGAGCCGCGGCACTGACGGCATCGTGGTCGGCACCTACGAGTACCTGGATCCGCTGAAGCGGGTCGTCAAGGTGGACTACACCGCCGACGAAGACGGCTTCCACCCCCGCGTGCAGGGCCCGGTGCCCCAGCCGCCCAGGGTAAGGGGCAGCGAGCGCCAGCTGGCAGGCCGGTGGCCGTGCTGACGGCCGGGGCCAGCTGCTGATCGGCACACACGCAGGGACGGCGTGGACCGCCTCGAAACTGCAGCGTTGCGAGATGCTGCCTAATCACCTGTTTCATAGTTGGTGTTTGGTGATACCAGCAATCCCACCTTATTTCCGCCCGCGGCCAGTCGTCTTCACGTCGGGACTTGATTCAACAGCCGGGTGCTACATATGGGTGCGACAGGTGTTGGAGCATTGGAGTGTGCAGCGTGGTAAGTCACCGAAACAAAACTAGCGTCCAAAGCGCCCCATCCGCCCTTGAAGGGCAACATTTTGGGCTCGAGGAATAATGTCAATTCGTAAGACCACGAGGATCAGTCCCCCATCTCACATACTAACGTTAGGCATTTGACGAGCAGTCTAAAAATCGCCCCAGGTCCAAAAATATCACTGAAGTCACAATTTGTTTCCTTATAAGCATCGCGCAGCTTGGCCCCTCATCCCCTATTTCTTCCAACTTCCCTCATGGATTCGCAAAATCATCGGTTACTACTTCAAATCACCGGTTTAGTCATTCTATTCGTTCACCAACGATTTCGTGTGAACGGCGTTGAGCACTGAACTATTCGCGAGCATGGGGTGCACGTCATGAATTCGTTCAGCCACGCCGTGATCTCCTCAGTGCCCAAGCCTGGGATGCTGCCATTACACTGCATGTTTCGGCGCTGCAGTCTCGGTGTTATCGTCTTGTGCCTCTCTGCAGTTTTGCCGCTATCATCCGGTACCGATGCTACAGTCGTCCTGTCCGTCCCATCCCGGCGCCGCACTCCCATTTATCGAAGGCATCCAAGGTTATTATCAAAGGGAGTGTTCCATATTTCTATGGGGCCTTGAACTGAAAAGGCCATCTTGACAAAATTTCGGCACAGATCACAGCCCTGCCCTTCTTAAGGCTTAACCCTCCAGTGTCTGAGCTACGCGCCCGGGGAAATGGGGGCTGTTTTGGGAGGAGTATTTCGAGGTCATCCTAGCATTTATAACATCATAATAACATCAACGTCATTCAAGCCCTGCCATTTCAAAGTCCTGCGGCGATCAAGGCCGAGGAAAATATAATGCTTGCATCGTTCATATCTGGCATTCATAAGCACGATGTCCAGGTATAACGACCACCAACTGGTTCTCAATCAATAGCGTGCAAGGTACCATGACGTAATTAAACAATGACGTGTCGATGAGCACATGTACTGAATAGAGAAATTGTGTTGTCTAGAGCAGTCAGTTCTACCTAAAATTGTACCAACAGTTAGAAGTGAGCTTGTTTCATCGCATCTCATGCTTGCTTCAGTATCTTCAATTGTGAAACATTCCCTTTAATGCTTCCCTTGTTCATACAATGTGGTCAGAAGGGGTCGTGCGGGCCCTTCCAAATACCCGTGCTGTGCGGTCACCGCTTATAACGCCGTTACCATAGGACAGACAATGTGGTCAGAAGAGGTTGTGCGGGCCCTATCAAACATCCGTGCGGCGCGATCACCGCTAACAGCATCGTTATCGTAGGACAAACTTGGCTTAAAGGGAGTGTCCCACCTTTGGGACATATTTCAAAAACATACTATGGTGAAGCCTCATGCCCACTTGCGTCAAATGATGGCACTGGGTAGTACCACCATCAATGCATGATGAGATGAATTATAATCGTTTTCAAGTCCAAATTACGCTAATGAGGCTTTGAAATGGCACTACATTTCTTCCTTTCTTGGTAACCCCGAAGTGTATCCAGAGTCCCGGACAATCGCAGTTGCGACCGCTGTCATTACAACCGCCATCGTCACGACGACAGAATCTGCTCAGGGCCGTTGCCAGAAGTGCCACTTGAGCTGTTTAACCCGCGCATTGCGCACTTGCGGGCTGCGTGAAAAATACCACAAATGTCGAGTGGCTCCCTACTGGTATAAATGACGGTCAGTACAAACGGGCGTTTATGATTGGCACAACGGGCGGCAAGGGCCAGTACCGAGAAGCGTATTCGTTGGAGTTGGAGCCAGTTCATCACTATAGACCATGTAATTGGTTCGCCCTTTCCCAAAGCCGAAACGCGCCTGGAAAAGAGACGCCGTGCTAAGCGTTATGATTGTAGGAGAGAAATCAAAGGTATAGTATAAAGCCTCGTTGAATTCGCGAGATAACAGCTCCACGCTCGCATCTCTTTCTTTCTGAAGTATTTTAAACGTTCGTAGCTTTACTACGCAAGCATTCTGACAAGTAGGTGTTATTACAGAGACGCACGTTGGAAAAAGCAAGGCAAATCAAATCTCTTACTTTCATAGTGATGAGCAGGTAGCCCAATGATATTTCTCCCGCAGGAGCGGCTACTTTTAATCAAAATTCTGAGCTATCCCGAGATCTCAAGCAAACTGATAGTAACGATCAAATGGGACACGCGTGATCCAACAATAAGTGAAAGTACAAGAAGTTGGCACACTCCCTTTAACCAGCAGAGTTTTAAGGCTGTGACGGTTAATGGCTGGCCTACGCGAAAACTGGAAAACTGTGCGGATTTAGCACTCGTCAAATCAAAGATCGAGAAGCCTGGACGCCAGCGGCCTGGCAGTTTGATAGCCACATGCCGGTGGAGATAATCGTTCGGCTTTACGCCCGTCTTGATACCTAGCTTCAAACGGACTTTTTTATCACAGACGGGTCACAAATATCAATCCCTATCAGCGCCATCAGGACGCCGTCAGAGGCCTCAAGCTCGTGCCGCGCCGTACCACTCACAGGTCCGCACCCGCTAACCGCCCGTCCGCGACGCGGCGCCTCGAAAATTCCTAGCCGCAGGTCGCGGGTGACCTTCACCGCTGGCAGAGGGCACAGATCACGGCCGCCGGCCACGGGCCCGACGGCCGGAGACGCCTCTTCACAGCGAACACACCATGCCCATGGCTCCGTAATCCGTCATGGGGCCGATTTTAGAACTGCGCAGATCGCGGGATGCATTTTGAGAACTGGCTTACGTCCCGTGATGTACAGATACACGATTGGGAGAGGCCCCCTTAACAACATTCCTGTAAGATGAGCCCGGTAGACAATCCGGTAAGGCTCAACACTTAAACACCGAGTGGGAGGAGACTCATTTTTTTTTTTAGCAGACGCCACAACACAGCCCAGCAAAAGTTCCCAATGGGGTACGCGCACACCTACCTCGAAGGCGCGACAATGGTGTGAATAGGCTTTTCATACAACAATCTAAACGCGAAGGGGTCTTCCGCCCAACGTATCCCACGCTTGCCACATCTGTTAGTCACGTGGTTTTTCTGGAAGCCCCAACCAGTTCACAGTAAAGCTTAGCCCAAGAGCCGCGTTTATATCCGGCTAGAACCGACCAGACGGGTTTTGCGACATGCTAATGCCCAGGGAGTTGCGCCTCCCGCAACCGATGACGAGAATAGCCGACGTCAACATGTCAAGAACGTACGCTGGGAACGTGTAAGTACCTGTCTTTAGCTTCGTTCCTTACCATACCTCCCACCCAAGCCACCGTTCCCGCAGTCGCGTTACAAAACCTGCCAGGCAGCTTATTGAGGATGAAGTGCTCACAGCCCATTCCGAACCAATCAATGCAAGCGAGCAGTGTGACGCACCCCAGCTAATCCAGAGCCCCCTGCGGTCTGCAGTCCACCTGCACACGCGGTGCGTGATTAATCCGTCAACCCACCCACGCACTCCCGCCCGCCACGTGACGGGAGTCCGGTCGTCGTTGCAGGAGTCAGCGGCGGTGGCGCGTGCGCGGGAGAACTTCTTCACGCGCTCGGCGCAGATCGCGGCCGAACACGCCCGGATCGGTCAGGAGCACGCTGCGCTGCGGGCCGCCGCTGAGGCCAAGCGGGCGCAAGACGAGGCCGAGGCCGCCAGGCAGGACCAGTACACCGTCTGATCGGCTGCCGGCCCGCTCTTGTCAGCGGCGTCGGGACGCGCCCGCCTCTCTCCGCTCCGCCGGTTGCGGCCTTCTCACCGGGCACCGCGCCACTGTCTCGCGTCTCATTTACATTCAGCTATCATATCGTCCGTCCAGAGGGCAAATATACTGCCGTCCGCTCCCTCACGTGTCTTCTTCTGGCCGCCGTGTCTACTGCGCCCCGTGCGCCCACGGCGCTGAGCGCCGAGCCGTGTAGAGAAACAGCTGCTTGAGGTCAAATGCACGCTGACGGCGGCGCGTGTGCTCAGCCGTCCGCAGCATCCACAGAATGCTGTATATGGCCGTAAACAACGTCTCAGCTCACATGTGTATTTTTCATAACCTGAGAACAAACATACGGACACAGGCCCTGGGCCGGCTCCGCACCAATCACACGCTAAAAGCTGCCCGGAAATAACACTTCGAACGATAGCAGTTAATGGTGAAAGGCCTGTTACCAGTTATCTTAAGGTGTTAATAATCTTAAGTAGCTTTTAAATGTTTAGGGCAACTTGCCTTTTATTATTTCCAAGAGCCACACAATCTTACCATCCCGCAGCAGTGCTGTCCCCTGTCCCGCGGCATCCAGTCACGCTCGGTCGTGTTCTGAGGCAAAACGGTTACAACCATTGTAACGCTGGCTTTGAATGGTATACTTCAATCAAATTCCAATGCCTTCGCCTCCCTCGCAATACTACTCTTATACGGATACTCTGCACATCACGTGTACCTTATGTACGTACTCAATAAAATGGTGGAAAGGGGACGAAAAACTACACAAGATAGGAAAGCAGTTGAAAACGTATTGACACGCATGCATTCATTTTCTGGGCCGTCTCAGTCTGACACTTATATTTCATCACTTAACACAGGCGGGAGCAGATCCAAATCAGTTTGGCTCTCTGATGACAACCTGGGTGGGGTGGGGAGGTGGGGTGGGGGGGGGGGGGGGGAGGAGGGGAGACCAGACACACCCTCGCCAGATGTGGCCGCCTCATTGCTCAGCAGCAGTCGTCCCTCAGTCCTCAGTCCAGAAGAGTCCTCAGCACCTGAGTCGTCCCTTCCTAGGCGGGAGGCAGGCGCCAGGGTCGCGTCCGGCGTCACCTGCCGGGACAACGCCTGCGTCACGCTCCACACACCCAGACCGGCCGGAAGCCGACCGACACTGCCAACTCAGCTCTCATAATCGCGGCACACGGGGTCCTGCCGCACCGCCGCCGCCCACGCCACGCCCCCAGGGTAGTCTGAATTGAGTTACGCCGCACGCGCGGCGCCCCGCTCATCGGACTCGCAGCGGCCGCACGCGGAGCCTTCCAGCCAGAGGCGGCGGGCCTCGCCTCCGCGCCCGCGGCCGTCCGGCCGCCAGCGCGTCCCAGGCGCCCGCCGCCCAGGGCCATTTCTGGTGGTCCGCCCGTCACCTCGGACGGCGCCCTGCTAGGGCGTCCCGCCGCACCGGCGAGCGTGCCTTGTCTCAGACCTTCCCAGGGGTGGTGGGGGAGCATCCAGGTGCTCGACAGTGACCCCTAGAGCGGACGTGGGGGCGTGGCCAGGCGACGGGGCGCGGCCACCCTTGCCATTTTTCGTGTCATCAGGCTATGCTTGCCCGCGAACGAATTCATGTCGACACAGCACATTTACCCCCACACTGCATCATGTTATGCAAAAACACGGGAATGATATTTGCTTCAAATACAATATCACACTTGTACCATTTTTCCAACAACCGTTAAATACAGCGAGGGAGACAAACGAATGACGACCAATTGCCCAGATTTCTTCAACGAAATCCGCCTGCACGTCATATAACCTGCAGTTTTGCCTCAATGCCTGGTCGCAACGGATGGCACCAACATGTTTTGCCTCATGATCCGACTGGACCCTGCATAAAACAATGGTAAGTCTCCAGTTCGCGACCACATGCCCCGGACCTCCCCCAACTGCTCGAGACATGGTGCGCATTTCTCCATGACCTGACAGGGTGTGTTATCTACAATAAAAGTACAGCACCGAAACACCAAAAGCGCTATACTAAAGACGGTCAATAAACATCAATGCTCCGCTTCTATCCAGATGGCGCACGGCTCCCACGCCGAGAAGCTCAAGTGAAACCAGAGCTACTGCCCTGACCTGAATGTGGCAACGCCGGCTACGGACAGCCGGTTTTCGGGTCGGCAGCTCACCGACCTGGAACCGGCGCCAAGCCGGCCACCCGATTTTGTGATCAGATGATGGCTTAAGACCAATGCAAAGTGTGTGTGACCACCAAAGACCAATGCAAATCGGGTGTTGTTTCGGGTGTGGAGTGACTGATGTAATCTCCATCTTGGTAAATCAGCAATCCATTTAGATTAACCTCAATATCTCGAGATCGAAACACAATTGCCGAGACCTCCGCAAATTTTGCAGCTTTGGCCAAGCATTTGGAAACATTCCAGAGCTTGCCAGACTAGGACTTTAGCCAAGGACGTGCCCGGGTAGCACCTAGCTGCCCCGTGCAATTGGCTAATCCTGGAGCAATGTCCATCAGAAACAATAATACTCTAGACTTCTCCCAATGACAGGCAATTATGTCTTATTGCCATTTTTGATGCTTTTCCACAAACCTACATTTTCCCACAGAACATACCGATTCTTTGGATTAGATACAGGTACATGTTTTTTAGCACTCCCAAAGTTTACACAAAGACAAATACTGCAAAAAGCTAGCATCATTTGATACCATTCGTACTCTCCCTGCAGTGTACAACCTACAAAACTACTTGGCGTGCAGCAATTATCCTAAAAAAATACGATCTAGTGTGGATCAGTTATTAAAACAATTAGTTCTTATTTCTAATTTTGGTCATCATGGCTTATGTGTGAACCAGCTGGCTACTCACCAAGGGCTCAGGACGTGTCGGATCAGCAGCAGGATCTTGCCGCCTGCACCGTCTGGTCTGTGCGCCTTGGAGTCACGTTCTAAGTCACCTGCCGGGACAACGCCTGCGTCACGCTCCACACACCCAGACCGACCGGAAGCCGACCAACGCTGCCAACTCAGCTCTCATAATCGCGGCACACGGGGTCCTGCCGCACCGCCGCCGCCCACGCCACGCCCCCAGGGTAGTCTGAATTGAGTTACGCCGCACGCGCGGCGCCCCGCTCATCGGACTCGCAGCGGCCGCACGCGGAGCCTTCCAGCCAGAGGCGGCGGACCTCGCCTCCGCGCCCGCGGCCGTCCGGCCGCCGGCGCGTCCCAGGCGCCCGCCGCCCAGGGCCATTTCTGGTGGTCCGCCCGTCACCTCGGACGGCGCCCTGCTAGGGCGTCCCGCCGCACCGGCGAGCGTGCCTTGTCTCAGACCTTCCCAGGGGTGGTGGGGGAGCATCCAGGTGCTCGATAGTGACCCCTAGAGCGGACGTGGGGGCGCGGCCAGGCGACGGGGCGCGGCCACCCTTGCCATTTTTCGTGTCATCAGGTTATACCACAATTGACTGTTCTGTTTCCTCTAGCGTACCGATGCGTACCCTAGCTCGTGCATCCAGGCTCCCAGCTTCCAGCGGGCCGGGAGTGCTACCAAGTGACCCCGGGTCACTGGAAACGTGGCAGGTCAAGGTCCAGACCTGGGGACGGAAATGGATCATAGATGGCGCTGTGTTCACATGCTCTAGCCCACCCGCTAACTTCACAAAACAGGCTGGCACACATGTCGTACGGTGCTGCGCATTACAAACAAACCGTAGACAAACCTGCGTACGCCTGCCTCCCGGCATGCCACACACCACTGCTCAGGCTGCTCCACTCATAAACTACTCACTATTCGAAATCTAGCAATGACGACACACATATAGAATGACCTATACATAAGAGACGCTCGCGCGCCCGTCCTTGATCTAGGGGAAGCAAAGGTCACAGGATCGTTTTGTGATGGCCTTGGTGCTGACACCCTTATAAACGTCCCGCCTCCGGCACACGTGCCGTGTGGCAATTTCTGAAGCCCCCTTACTTCACAGGGGGTGGCCACGAGGGGAGCGGAAACTGAGGGATCGCGGGGCCGCCGTTAAGGGGCTACGCGGGCGCGACGTCAACATGGGACCGAATTTTGATAGCCCGCGGCGCGGGTTTTGATTGATGCTGTGAGCAAATCGGCAGATGCTTGTCACACGATTAAAAACGGAGATCTCGCCAATGGACTGGACGGTAATCCTGTCCTACATTTTCATTTTAATGTTGTGTGAATTGATATCGTAATGTCGCATTTCAAACCCTCCATGAAAAAATAAAAACGACACTTCCAAAAATAATCCTACTAAACCACGTTTTCCATCTCCAGCGCCATGTTCGTCGTGGCCGACGCGCATGAGTGTAAAGGGTTTTTGTAAAAGGAATATTCAAATGATAACAAATAAAATCGTTGTAATGGTTACCTGAAATTCATCAATGGGTAATGATTGCCCACATGTTTTCGTACCGCAGTAGTACGTATGTGGGGCGAAATGCGTAAATAAGGTAAAATGAGGACGGCAGGTGCCAAGAATATCGCTGTTGCTGTGCTATGATCTTTCGAAGTGTTGGTTAACTTGCAGATCTATGATGCTGGATGGATTAGGCAAAAAATGGTGCACAGAGAACAATACCCCGACCGCCTTATGTCTTTTTTAGACTATTTCCGAGCTGAGAAATGGGCTACGCCACCTTGACCGACAGAAATCGAAGAACTTGTCAGAAATCAGCCCATTTTACAGGAAATCTGCTCTCCTGAACTGAAATACCGCACACTGTATGCAAGTCTCTCGGGATCTGCCACTCACCACCCCCATAAGGGCAGGCCAACCCTGCATCCACCCTGACAACGCTCACTCTAAGATGTGCATTTTAACTTCTCGATGCGCGTCCCAGTGCGCTGCAAGCCCGTCTGGTACGCCGTATCTCAGCCCTACACTATGTTGTTGTATGGTGTACTCCCCTACACTGTCTCTAAACGCTTCCGGCTAGTTCTTCGGGATAAATCACTAGTGAATAGGTTACTCCGTCTTTCTGTCGGAGTCCGGTTGAAAGCGCATTTCAGCAATAATTTTGTAGCTCTGGTGCAACCCAACGCCATTTCCCAGCTGAAAAATGCTTCGTTGAATATGCTAGGTCGACAAAAATCGGCCTTACTAGAATATTTGTTTAACCCAGCCCGCGAAGAACAGCGCTTTCACGCCTCCGTAGCATGAGTACCATGACAAAGTCCCACGATGATGTCACAGCATCGCTACCCAGAATGCAGCAATGCGGGGGCTCGGGTAAAGGATTGCGACTTGAGAAAGGAGGTTATAACACCAATCCTGAAGCCGCCGCGTCCCAACCACACGACAGACCGTAAGAGCGGGGCTGCCCAGTCATTAATTTTTCGCTGCACGAGCGTAACTGATTCCGGGAAACGCTTCTTAAACCACGAGCCCCAGCTCGAGACGTTGCAGGCTCCGCACCCCGCCCCCAGCCGTGGGTAGCCCAGGCCGCAACCGCCCAGCAGATGCCACTGACCTGACGGCAGGACGCCCAGCGAGCACCGGCGATGTGAGAGCAGGGCCATCCCGTGCGGAGGGAGCGCAGACGGCGTCCGGCCGCGGCGCGGTGGCCTGGAAGTCGGCGCCAAGTCAGATGACGTAACCGGCACGCCGGCGAAACAGCAGCTCAACAAGACGTCAGGCTAACAGGGAAATATTTGTCTGCATCGCCGTAGCTAGAAGCGAGCTGGGTGTGTCATCATCGTAATCTGGAAGAACGCGACTCAAACGACGGCAGTTGACTCGACTCACGGCGACTCACCTGTGGAGACGAGTTGATCATCGTTCAGTAGATGTAGCCGATCTCGGGCCTGGGCAAAAACAAAACTCATTTAGGGACATGTCCATTAGAAACCAGCTGGTTTTCTATATCAGAAGACATAGGCAGCATAAGCAAGCCCCGTATTATATGTCATGCATATGTTTATACCAGCACATTCAGGCCAAGCAGAAGACGTTCACGGCATTTCCTTCTTCAGAATTGAACGCCACAAATTACAGTTCAAACGCCATTCCATGCCAATATCTAATGGCGAATTCTACGGAGACGTGGTCTACGTTTAGCACATATGATGGCAGAGACACCCCACCATCAGACTCGAAAGTTAAGCGCAGTCAAATCACTTTTGATCGCCATGATAAATCACCACCACAAATCACCATGATATCGCAACATGTATCTGCGTTAGAAACGTACCTTTTCAGTTGGATCAGACGATTTTTTTCTGACCCGTTGGTCAAACCAATGACACCTGTAGAGACACAGGCGTTAGTTTTAGCAGATCGACTGACGTTGAGCCAGGATTCGCGACGATGGGCGAAACGCACACTTAGAAAAATAGAAAAAGACGAAAGCTTTTGTCAAGCGCAATATTTTGACCAAACTCTGCATCGCAAAGCCGGAATGGATGCGCGTCAGCCAGTAAGTAGGGATGCTCAATTATCCGGCAGAGTTGAACAAATAGCCACTGTTAACTACGGGTCAAGATGCAAACAACTGTGCGCCAACACTGCCAAGCCACACCAGCATCGACCGCTGTAGCAGGACAGCTCGACAGTTACTCTCCGCAGAATTGAACGCCACGTAACCTTCGCACAGAATTCGTGGAGCTGGACTGCGGCGTACGATAGTGACGAAAGCCGACCGCGCTGCTGCGCTCACCTGGGCCGACCGCCTGCGGCCCGACTGCTGTCCGGGACTGGCAGTGGTGCACAGCACGCGCCAGATACTCCCACAAAGATACTGGGCGGAGAACCTGCCGAGGAAGAGTGGGCTTAACGCACGAGACATGAAGGACAGGCAACGAAGATGCATAGGGAACATGGGAAGCTGCATTCTACTTTTTAAAAAAGGGTGTGCACAACTGTTTTTAGCATTAAAGTATCATGTGGTAGAGACGAATCAAAAGTGATTAATATCATCCTCTTTTTGGGAGGTTCTCTCGTCCACGCAATGGAATCAAAAGCACGCGACTGCCTTCACAATTCGTACAACAAATTTCAAAACGGGCTAGTCGGCCGTTGGGTTCAAGAGCGGATGTCACCGCTGCACAGACCCTGAGCTCGCACGATGCGGCGCAATGTACGTTGGCGTGTCTGAGCGTCGCCAGCAATCGCTGACGACACAGGACACGCCGGCGGTCCCTATCCGCAGCATTGAACGCCACCGAACCGTAACACCGATTCCGTGGAGCTGGACTGCGACACGCCACCCGAGACCGGCCACACACACGGAGCCTCAGCGCGAATGGACCGCGGCACAGCACAGCACCGCGTCTCATGAGACACAACGGACACTTGCACGAGTTACACTACGTTAGTGGTAAGTGCCAGGTTGAAACATACCCACTGCCTCACGATCGACCAGAACACAAATCGCCATCTGCACCCTAAACTAGCCGCATGCTTAGCTACATTTCTCTCGCGTCACCTTCAATCGCCTTACCGATAACGAACAGGCGCTCTGGAGCACGGGCTTCAGAGTATTTCCTGGTCCAGAAAGACTTCAGCAGCTCATAGCCCCAGAAAGTCTGCAAATGCCACACGGTGTGAGCCGATTGTAAGCAGTCTTCCAACGGTGGTGGCACGCTTATTTCAGGCTAACAGGGAAACTTTCTGCATCGCCGAAGCTGGAAGCGAGCTGGGTGTGTTCATCATGAGTACACGTATCAGGTTGGAACCCGTTGGCAAAAACAGTGAGATCCGCGATCTTACCTCACGTGGATAAAGGTGTGAATGAAGAAGTCATCAGGCTTGGATTTATATTATGCTGTGCTACCCAAGTTCAGCCGGTCTGCGAAGGAAAAAATCATTGTCAAATGGCACCCTGTCCGTGCCAAACACGCTATCTGGACGAACAACAACGAATGATTCCCATCCATGAATGTAGACAAACTTCGTCCCGACAATCGCAGCGTAAGCGGGCGCCGGGATAGCGGTTTGTCAGTTTCTGTTCGCAGAAAGGGAACGCCAGCAGACTGATGTGAGCAGACTGTTGGAGCTAGTCTGCGCACCAACGCGACTATCGTCGATGAGTTTCAGAAGTTCAAGTAGTGACGGCAATAGGGCCATCATCATACCACTACATGGAAAAAACACGTGACATCTAGGTCAAATCGACTCGGCTAGCCCTATCCCTCGGGTCAGAAAACACTGGTGCATATTATGAGCCGTAATCTAAGCGCTACGTTACGGCCTGGAACGAGACTCGCCGCGATGCCACCTCCATGGCATAATCACTCATTGCATTGGGCTACACCGGCGCGTCTTTGGTGGACGGGACTCTCATAACTGACAGATGCGGCACACGCCTCCCCTCTTTCGGAAGGCTGCATCAGATGCCACATCACTGCCGTGCCGTCCATCCAGACAAAACCACCACCCGGGCCGGCCGCCCGAGAGAAATCGACCGCATCACGGGGATGATAGCGCCAGCGCCATAGTAGGGCAACCGACAGCTCGGCAAGAGCGTGCCTGTGCGGATGTGAAGCCGAGGCCGCTCCAGCGAGGCCGCTCCACCGGTGACGGAGCAAGAGACGACGGACCTGGAACCCCAATCCAGTCTCAGAACACTCCACCAATCAACACGCACGTGACGACAGCATGACATTCTCAGGCTAACAGGGAAACTTTCTGCATCGCCGCAGCTGGAAGCGAGCTGGGTGTGTTCATCATGAGTAAATGTACCAGTCCGGTTAGGCTGCTACGGCGGAAACGTGACGTAAAGCATGGGACATGCGCTTACCTATCGTGGTTGACGGCGAAACGAGTCCTATATCTTGTTGTAATGGTCCGAAAATATTGGAGCTGAAAGTAGAGACAAACAGGTGTATAACACCCCGTCCAAAACCAGGAAGGACAATTGGCCAGTAATAGACACCTACAACGGTGCCAGCTTCTAATAATTGTGATACAGCACAGTTTGTAGTAACATCCAGTGATTGGCGCCCACTTTAACTTGAAACTACCGCAACACAACTCTCATGACGAGAAACATCTAGACGGCCTCGCTGCAATAATATAGACAAACTTCGTCCCGACAGCCACAGTGCACGCGAGCATCGGGATAGCGGTTTGTCAGTTTCTGTTCGCAGGAAGGGAACGCCAGCAGACTGATGTGAGCAGACTGCTGGAGCTAGTCTGCGCACCAACACGGAGAGACGCGGCACTCACCAACAGCTGTCCCTCACGCTGTCACCAACAGTGCCGCGGACGGGGTAAGGGACGCGCAGCAGCCCTGTAAACACCGCTCGGTGTCAGCATATCCCCGATCCCCGTGCCCGACAGTGACCACGCGCCTCTCTCAGGCTAACAGGGAAACTTTCTGCATCGCCGTAGCTGGAAGCGAGCTGGGTGTGTTCATCATGTGTTTGTACGTAACTGCTGCATCATTCTGCTACATGTAACCTTTTGCTTACGCACAGCACACTTAAGCACACCATCGAATTCTCTCGCGCAAATTGGTGTAATCTAACAACAGCCGGTAGAGGCATCGAACCCTCGAAATAACGGTCGCTGGCCGCACCCCGCTCCGTCGCCATTTTCGGCGTCCCCTGTCCTATGCACGTTAAACAGTACACGCTACTCACCTCACCCCAGCTGGAGCCACGACTTATCGGCTGGAACAGTAGATCAGCTGATTGCTTTCACTGCAGCATACTGAAATGGGCAAAAAAAGTATTACATAGCTTACAAAAGCGTTATGGCGAAATATGCGATGCTTTCGGCTTTAGGGGTGCGCGGACCGCCCTGGCCGTATGGCGGCGAAATGTCAGCGGCTCCGACGAATGCAATGCTAAATCACACGCGTCAATAAAAATAATGGGTTTTGCAGCCAATGGCCATCGCAGGAAGCGACTGAACGATATGTCAGGGCATGCTGTAGTCATACAACTGAAGTAATGTAAACAAACTTCGTCCCGACAATCGCAGCGTAAGCAAGCGTCGGGATAGCGGTTTGTTAGTTTCTATTCGCAGGAAGGGAACGCCAGCAGACTGATGAGGGCAGACTGCTGGAGCTAGTCTGCGCACCAACACGGAGAGACGCGGCACTCACCAACAGCTGTCCCTCACGCTGTCACCAACTGTGCCGCGGACGGGGTCACGGGGTAAGGGACGCGCAGCAGCCCTGTAAACACCGCTCGGTGTCAGCATATCCCCGATCCCCGTGCCCGACAGCGACAACGCGCCTCTCTCAGGCTAACAGGGAAACTTTCTGCATTGCCGTAGCTGGAAGCGAGCTGGGTGTGTTCATCATGTGTCTGTACGTAACTGCTGCATCATTCTGCTACACGCAACCTTTTGCTCACGCACAGCGAACTTAATCCGACTATCGAATTCTCTAGCGCAAATTGGCGTAACTTAACAGCCAGTAGAGGCATCAAACCCTCGAAATACCGGCCGCTGGCCGCACCCCGCTCCGTCGCCATTTTCGGCGTCCCTGCCATACGCACGTTAAACAGTACATGCTGCTCACCTCGCCTCAGCCGGAGCCACGACTTATTGGCTGGAACGGCGATCAGCTGATGGCTTTCACTGCAGCATACTGAAATGTACAAAAAACAGACATGTATTCCATAGCTTACAAAAGCGTTATGGCGAAATATGCAATGATGGTTTTGGCTTTAGGGGCGCGCGGATTGCACTGGCCATATGGCGGCGAAATGTCAGCGGCTCCGACGAACGCAATGCTAAATCACACGTGTCGAGAAAAATAACGGGTTTTGCAGCCAATGACCACCGCAGAAACGACCGCACGGTATGACAGCGCATGCTGCGGTCATACAACTGGAATAATGTAGACAAACTTCGTCCCGACCATCACAGCGTAAGCGATAACCAGGATAGCGGTTTGCCCGGGTTTCTGTTCGCAGAAAGGGAACGCCAGCAGACTGATGTGAGCAGACTGCTGGAGCTAGTCTGCGCACCAACACGGAGAGACACGGCACTCACCAACAGCTGTTCCTCATGCTGTCACCAACTGCACCGCGGACGGGGTCACGGGGTAAGGGACGCGCAGCAGCCCTGTAAACACCGCTCGGTGTCAGCATATCCCCGATCCCCGTGCCCGACAGTGACAACGCGCCTCTCTCAGGCTAACAGGGAAACTTTCTGCATCGCCGTAGCTGGAAGCGAGCTGGGTGTGTTCATCATGTGTTTGGTATACGGTTCTATCAGGCCACATGCATATAAGTTATCATAATTCTACTATATATAGTACTGCAATGCAAAGCCAAAACAGACTATCGGATGTTCTCGAAATGAGACATAACATAGCCAGTGCTGAAACCAGCGAAAATACCGGCCACTAGTCGCGCGCTCCGTCCTATTTTCGCCGTCCGCTCCCGCAGATCGCTCAATGGCACACGTTTCACTCACCTCAGTCGGAGTCGAGATGCATTGGCTGGAGCAGCAGAGCAGTTGATCACCTGATCTGCTAAGAGGCGGCATACTGGAATGTGCAAAAAGCATGGATGTCATGCGCTACAAAAACATGAAAGCTAACGTCATCGGTCCTGATTAATGTAACACTAAATCAGGCGTGGCGAATACCAAAACTCGAGACATTCAGTGACCATTGCAAGAAAGAAACCCGGAAATAAGCAGACTACGCACCTAAGACTACATCAATGTAGGAAAACTTCGTCCCGACCATCGCAGCGTAAGCGAGTGCCGGGATAGCGGTTTGCCCGTTTCTGTTCGCAGAAAGGGAACGCCAGCAGACTGATGTGAGCAGACTGCTGGAGCTAGTCTGCGCAACAGCACCCAGGACGGATAAGGGCACTCACCGGGGAAGACGACGCAGTGGTTATGTAAGCGCCCACACTCATAAGCGCCACGAGCCATCTGGGAATAGGGACGCAAACCCGTCATTACCCGCACTTGGAACGCAACCCCGAACCCAAAAACGAAGGCCAAAAGATGGCACGGCCAACGTCATGCCGCAAACATTTCACTACAGGTTGTGAGAATCCCTAGTTTTAACCAGTTTGAGCCAAAACACACTTTCGGACAGTAGTCCGTGCTACGCGACCAAGCAACGGCACCCCGAGCACTGCGGGTCCCACGGCACTAACGAACAGTGATGTACGTGGTCGCGTCTGTCCCGTGGGACGGCCCCGAGAGACGGCAACACAACCACCGTTGGTGTTCGCGACAAGGGAAAGCCGACTGCAGCCAGAGGAGGCGCAGTCGGGGCAAAGGTCGCGACGACAGTTGCCACACCCGACGGGCGCGTACCTGCAGTTGTATCGCGGCGGCGGCGGTGACGTGTCAGACGGCACCGTCTCCTCACTGTGAATGGCACACCATTGTTAGCTCACATTTTTAGCCATAACGCGTACTGAGGTGATTGGCACATTCAGGCTAACAGGGAAACTTTCTGCATCGCCGTGGCTGGAAGCGAGCTGGGTGTGTTCATCATGAGTCGTTTGTTCATGTCACTTGCACCTTATATAAGCAAGTATTACGAAATCATGGGCATAAACAATTAAAGCAAACCGCAGAAGCACTTACCTCGCGCAAGAGCATCCAGTTATTTGCAACCCGGTTCACAGTCTTCTAAACTAATTTGTTTGGTTAATGCACGTCCGGTGGTCTCCGAGAACAAGACGGTTCTGCAAAGGTACAAAAAGTACAGTCATTTCACAGGTCGTGCCAAATGCATTTATTTAGGGATAGGACGATCGTTTAAACACGCCGGTACGAATGCAGCCCTGCCAGATGACAATGCAAATGTCAGCGATTCTGTGAATCCATCTGATCATACTCAGAAAGACATTGGCACAACCGCTGTTCGTGTTCGCGACAAGGGAAAGCCGACTGCGGCCAGAGAGGAGGCGCAGCCGGGGCAAAGGTCGCGCCAACACACGACGTCTCCAATGATGCGTACCTGTGTGCCGGTCGGAAGCTGAATGGACCTTTCACGTTGTTGTTGTCTCCACGGGCGACACCTGCCGACAAACAGCTGATCAGCACGACGAAATCCCGGCTCGAGAGCCAACCGTCACTACACGTTCATATCAGGCTAACAGGGAACCTTTCTGCATTGCCGTAGCTGGAAGCGAGCTGGGTGTGTTCATCCTTTCGGTGCGGGGTCGAGCCGCTCAGAGGCCCGGCCAGTACCATCTGTGTTGCGAACTAACCTCCAGCGTCCAGGGCTCGCACGGCCGCGTCACGTGTAGCCCCCACGGATCGCCACTCGTTCTTTTCACCCGTCCGGCCTGTAAAAGGATTGACAGCGTTAAGCTTCGTCGCAACGATACGCACATTTTCGAGTGGCAAACCTACGCATCACATGCGCACTGCTTCATACCCGAGGAAAAGAACGTATGTTGAAAAACTTCGTCCCGATCATCACAGCGTCAGCGATTATCAGGATAGCGGTTTGTCAGTTTCTGTCCGCAGAAAGGGAACGCCAGCAGATTGATGCGAGCAAACTGCTGGAGCTAGTCTGCGCAAGTCAGACAGCACGCGAGCGCCACTCACCGGCCAGACCGGAGCCTCCAGTTGCACAGGTCTCCCCTATCGCCCACCAGTACGGAGCCGTGCGTCCTCGTCTGAAACGCAACACCACGACGCTGACATGGGCTCAAAGACAGGCGAGCCTGAAATCAGTCTCCAGGATCCTACCAGCACACAATGAGCACAGCTGCCCTACGCTGCGCTGACGACAGGCAGTCGGCGAGCTGCCGGGGCGGCGTTACTGCTACCACCCCACCCGGCGGGCACTGTGTCGGCAAGGTTGGTTCTGACCACGGCGGGAGCGCCGGGACCAGGATAGTCTCGCCCTGCGATCTCCGCCTGCTCGGACGCCGGCGCCCCGAGAAGCGGACCGCCAGCTCCAAAACGGCGGCTAACAACCTCACGTGACGGCGCGTCGCGGCCTCGCCATCGGAGGAGCGCTGACCGCAGCGCCGGGACACTCACCGCGGAGGAGCTCGACACTGGAGGCGCCGTCGCCGGGCCGCTGCAGCCGCCCGGCCGTGCCTGCAACATCAGCAGGGATAGCGTCAGTCCGGCCCGGCCGACGATCGGCGCCGAGCTCAGCGCAGGTGACACGGGCTGGCACCCCGCCACCAGTGACGTCATGTATGGGAATGTTGGAACATGGCCAATACAACATGTCCATGTTCAGTAGTTCTCAGTTTCTGTAGCACTTCTGTATATCGAGCATGCCACGTTACGGACATGTCCGAAAAGCTTGAGTGCTATCCGCTCATGCAAAACAGAGACGACATCTGGCATTGCGAAACTAACGTTCCCAAAGCTCACTCACCTAGCGTGCCAACAAACATACAATAAACCCGAGTTCACACTGGACCACACACCAGACTTGAGTGATCGTCCCCGTGGGCCTGAGGAGTCAGCCACCAGCGCCGCCGCACCAGCGCCGGCGCTAGCCATTCGGCCGAGAGGCGACGGCACAGCTCCGACTAAACTCACCACGAGCGGTCCGTCTGTCCGGCTCCTGCTGTAATGCGCCAGGCTCACCGCGCCCTGAAACACCATTGGGCGTCAGAATTCCAGTTTGAGAAACACTGGCCGTGTTCATAGTACACCAGGTTTCCTTGGACCGAAGATTCTGTGCGCCCGCAAACTAAGAGCCGGTCCCAGGCGGAGGACGGCGGCCCTACTCTCGGGGCCGGCACGGCCGTGGCGCGACACGGGCGCGCCAAAACGGCGGCCACGTGCCGCGCGCCGGGCCGCGCCTTTCCTCTGCCACAGACATAACACGACCGGCCCAGAGCCAGGCCACCCGCTGACTTCTGTGGATGGAGGGAGGATGGGCTGGGAGGGCAACAGGTGCACCGCTTCAATGGCGTAGCCCGAAGTGCATCAAACCATTAGAAAGGATATATGTTCGCAGACGGACATGCCAACAAAGTCCGAAGCCGACTATTTCCATAGAAGCCACACCAGATGGCATGCATTGGCACACAACACAACAAAAGAGCAGCACTTACCATCTTTAGCTCCCCAAGGGTGGTTCAAATGTATTCTGAATCTTCTTGATCTGATCTGAAAAAAACAGAATATTTCCAATCACTTGGAGCACAGACCTCGCCAAGTTATTTCGAGGAGCAGCGAGTCAGGTGTGATTAGCTGTAATCATTGTTTCTCATACGAACGAGACATGAACTCATCATTCAATCGGCCAGCAAGACGCTTATTGGAGATCCCCTGGCTGTTTCGGCAAAACACGGTGCTACGGGCTCTCACGCTTAAGGCAGCGTTGACAAGCAGGTAACATCAGCAGACCTGGAGAAATCCGCTAAATCGTCACAGCATGATGAGCAGGCCGGGGATACAAAACGCAAAACTTACCACTCAACGCATCCGCGATCCAGATCCCTCAGCCTCCGAACACTCGCTTCCTGCAAACGCAAGCGCCTCGGTCAATTTTGTATTATTTCGTCTCCAGCTACGGTCCGGACGCGACTCATCAGTATATGATAGTTGTAATCGTCGTGATTCATACGAACGAGACATGAACTCATCACATTAGATCGCAGACGCAGCGCGACCGCCGCATAGCAATCGGCCGTCACACTTCCGGTTCGTATACAATGCAAATGGTTTACAACTGCTGCCGACCGGTCCACATCCGTCCACGATTGTGATCACTTACCACTCGTGCTCTGCTTCGGAGCGGGCCGGTACGGTGTCGACGCCGCCAGCCAGTGAGCCTTCGGACAAAGTGAGACGCGTCAGTGGGGCATCCGGTCCAGCCGGCGTCTGGCGCGCGGCTCCGCGTCAGGACACGTTGGGATGTGTGTAATCATGACGGTCATGTCAACGAGATATAGGGTCATCATGCTCGTGCCGGCCCCGCACACAGAAGTGCGATATTTAAGGAACGGAGCCATCACAGAACGGGAGATCGCTGGCGATGTCACAAGAGCACGCATGAGGTCAGCACACTACCGCGCGTCACTTACCACTTCCTCCCTGGTCCGGCGATGCTGCTGCGGCCGGAATCTGGCGGTCGACCTGCGGACAAAACACGCACGTCAGCGGGGCCCCAGCGCCGGCAGGCGGTCCGTCACCGACTGAGATCAGCACACGTTGGGATGTTGTAATCATGACAGTCATGTCAACGAGATATGAGAACATCATGCTCAGCTCATAGAACAGTCATGGACACTTTTAATGTTACCTCACGATCTCAGTCACGCACGACCGAGAGGACGTGGGTCTTTGGTCTCAGCTACCCGACGAGCACCGCGTCTAGGCACTCCTTCCCAGCGCAATTACTCACCACTCGTCCTCCTGGGTCAGGACCTCCACCCGTGGCCAGCCGCAGGGGCAGCGGGTACCCTGTCGACGGAGGCCGGTGTCAGTGGGGTTCGGACGACACGCGGCGCCCTAGCCAAGGAGCCGCTCAGGACACGTTGGGATGTATGTAATCATGACAGTCATGTCAACGAGATATGAGGTCATCATAACATGAGAACGCTGGACATGGCAGACTGAACAGCTCAGGGAATGCAGCATGGTGACGTGTGCCATGCGGGATGTCAGGCGGCGCAGTTTATGCTTACCGGTCGTTAGGCAGCTTGGCTCACGTGCCTGAGCGTCGTCTCCAAGCTCATCTGATCTGAGCAGACTCGACCCTGAAACACAACACGGTCAGCTGTGCTCAGACAGTAAGGGAATACGTGCGAATCACGAGCTTTCATGTCACTTTTTTGCCGGACAGTACAACGGCCTATGCATGCCCATTCATGACACACGTTCTGAAACAGAACGTGGGCTCATCATTAAACTATAAATGACAAAGGCAGGCTCGAGCACAAACTGAGACACGACTTGAACGAATCTTGCCTCTACTATCTGACCTGTATGCACGTTGGCTGCTCCAGCCGAACGCAGTACCACGTACCTGGAGTGGGCGCTCGTCCTTTCGCTGCGTTAACCCTCGTCCTGGCCATGGGAACATTACATCGCCCGAGCATCGCCATAGGTGCACTTGTATTTTGCTCGTTTCTGTACCATACACGGGAAGAGATGCTACAACGTAAATGAGTGCTTATGCCACTTTCCACGACAAATCACGAGTCTGCCGCCACAGGTGTCCGACACTGTTGACAGCAGCTGCGGCATATATATAACACAGACATAACAAGTACAACATGCACTGGTGCTACTTCACAGCAATATTTTCATCATACACAGCTCAAGTGAACCTCAGAAGACGGATCATCACACAAATAATAAAGATTGCAGCGTTTAGTTATGTTCACGATGAACAGTCAAGGGAGTCACATGTCAAACACGATGCGGTTGACAACCGCTTCCTGACACAATCACTTTGCTTCAGCCTTGGCTTCGGCGTCGTCTTCTTTCTTGTCCTTCTTACCGTCACCTCCTGTCGACAACAGCAAGAGCTCACTTCCTGGCTAATGCCACACATTACATGTACATGCAAAGTTTGTTCGACTTATTCAGCAAAACAGACCAGCATTCTGACCAGCATATGTAAGTCCGAATCGTACTCACGGGCCATCCCGGTACGTCCCCAAAACACTCAGATCTCGGTGTCCCCAAAACACACAGACCCGGAGCCCGAGATAGTCGCCGTTGATAGTGAGCGGGGCCGTCGGCCGCGCCCGCGCCGGCCACTCACCCTCCGAGTCGCCGTTCTCGCCCGAGCTGTTGTCGCGCCGCCGCTTGCGGTTGAACTTGCCGCGGTTGAACTTGGGCGGCGGCAGCGGGTCCATGCCGAGGATCTTGTGCACCTGGCGGAAGGCCATGAGCCGGAGCGCGTGCTGCGCCGAGGCCGTGATGTCCTCGCGCTCCTGCGCCGACAGGCCGGAGAGCGTGTCGACCGGCTCCTTCTCGCACGGGTCCACCAGGCCCGGCGTGCCGGGCAGCAGCAGGCCGGACGCGATCGCCTCGAGCACGCGGCGCAGCGCGTCGCCCGGCGCCAGCGGGAAGCCGGCCGAGGCTACCACCCGCTCCACGATCAGCTCCAGCGCCTGGCGGGCACCGCACGGCGGCGGTCACGGCCAGCGACCGGCGCGACGGCAGCCGCCGGCCGTTCTCCCACTCAACAAGTTAGTAATTCGACCACTGACGAAATGCTGAACATCTTGACAGATATTACAGGAATCAGAGATCACTTGTCGCCTCATCGCGCGCTCAGTGCTTCTACGGCCAGCGACAAAGCAGAGGTAGACGGGACACCAGGGGCGTCGTGACTCACCCATGTGTTGAGCGGTGTCCAGGTGGGCACGCGCTGACACAGCTCGCGCATGATGCGGATGACGATCACACAGCTCTGCACGCCGCTGGCTCTAGCCTGCGGGGAGAGAGAGCACCGGCGGTTGATGGCGGGCGGCGCACACGCGCGCGGCCGCCGGCACCCCGCACCACCGCGACCAGACGATCTTTCCAGCCTTATATGACGCCTACACACTGAACCGCTCTCTGCCACACGTGGGAGAAGTGCAAGCTGGCGGCCGCGCAGCGCGCCGCGCCTCGCTACGTTACCGACAGCCGTGCAGAGAGCCACCGAGTGTGTCTGTGGGAAGCCCCGTCTGCCCGCCCGGCCGGCCCGGCGCCGGGAGCGCGGCCGGCCGCCGAGCGGCGCGGCGCGGGCCGCCGGCCCGCGCCGCGCCGCTGAGCGGACGTCGTCTCCCGCCGGCGGGCCGGCGCCATCGCCCGCCGATCCCGCCCGCCCCCTGACCGACCATAAGGCTGAAAAAATGAGGCCGCCGCGACAGAAGGACGCCGCCTGAGGGGGCAGCGATTGAGCGGGAGCGGGGCGCGTGCGTCCTTCTGTCACGGCGAGCGGGGTGGCTTTTGTCCAGACCTGGAACCATTTAGCATGTCTCAGGGCCGCTAGAGCCTCGAGACATTTCTGCTTGTCCAAGACGTCTGGCGGATCCTTGGAGGGAGCCGGCTCTGCGAACGAACCGGCCTCGCATCATACATGATCCTTGAGTCACTGTCGTTCGCGCGCAAAGGAGAGGCTTACACGATCTGACCGCTCTTTAGATGAGTTACGTTATGAACGAGGGTCGGGTACAAGGCTCGTAAATTACAGCTCATATTACTTAAGTTAGGAAATAAAACGGCATATCACATGAATCAATGACAAAAACGTCCAAAATGGTCGGTTCCTTCATATCAAAGGGCTAGAACCATTTTGGACAGTGTGCAAGATCCCAACCCTCGTACAACCGAGCAGAGCATCTGAGCCAAACAGCTGAATGACGGCAAATAAAAAGCCGGGCGATTCGAACGACAGTGACACATGTAGGATGCGTGGCCCGATGTTCAAGCCGCCTCCATCACCCTGCAGAAGACAAGGCCAGCTTTAGTCAGACGCCAGCCCAGACGCCGCCGGCCCACAAAACGGCCGCCACAAAACGCGCAGCGGCCGCGGACGGCCGTCGCCGCGGCCGCCCGGAGCGCCGGGCCGCGGACGCTCGCCTGAGCGGCCGTCACACCAGCGCCACGTCCCGCCACCGCGTGCGTGCGTGCGTGCCGCCGGCGGCGCGGGCCGCCCCACTCACCACCGTCGCCGGCGCCGTCGCGCATCAGCGGCGACGTCAGCGTCACCGTCACGTTGATACGCGGCTCCGTCTGGTTGGTGATGATGAGCGAGGCGTTCTCCACGCTCAGCTTCAGCACGTACTTCTCGTCCGGCGTCACCGTCTGCGGCGGCCGACGGCGGCGTCAGCACGGCCAATGTCTCCACGCATGCCCCCCCCCCCCCCCCCCCCACGGCTACGACGCAAAGCGAGCATCACACTACCACATCCAAAACGTACAAGCACGGCCAGGGGTTTCTATTAACATTTGCAACTTCTGTGATCTAAGCGAAAAACAGCAATCGCCCACACCACTTTCATGTATCAAGAATATTCATTACTACATTAATTTGGTTCAAATTTAGGTATGTTGAGCTAATGGTGACGAAAAATACAAATATGCTGCAAAGTCTACATCTAATCGAATACATTTTCGGATCTGTGTCCAAACAATGCATTCCTGTTGCCCAGCCTTGCAAATGATGTGTCTGGCAGCTGCGGGCGCCAGTGCTAGCATCCGGCGCACTGACCCCTTCGCCTTCCACTTACAGCAAGGTGTTTGGGCATGAGGTTGGCGACACGCTCCAGCAGCAGCCGTGTAGGCTTCTCCGCGCAGAGCACCACCAGCTGAACATCAGAGTCGCCCTGCAGCAGCAGGCCCTTGGCCAGCACGCCCACGCGCATCACACCTTTCAGCGTGCGCGGCAGCTCCTTCCCGTCCCTGTGGAAACGAGGAGATCGCCGCGGTGTACTATGCACCAACGCCTAGGTCAGCCTTGAAAATCATTGAGCATGTCCCAGAACATAAAACAGGTAAATGGTAATGAATATAGTTTATGTGACGATAAGCACAAGTGATCCCATGTTATCATCGTCCCATGCCTCTCCCACATAACCGACGTCAGCATGAACATTTCACGTGACGGCCGCCAGGCGCTCACTCGTCTTTGGTTTCGGCGGCGGTGCCGTCTTCTTTGGTTTTGGGAGCGTCAGCCTCGGCAATGTCATCGGAGACCATCTTCAGCGCCTTCTCGGAGTTGGAGACGATCTTCTGGATGGCGTTCAGCTCCTCGTCCTTGGGGTAGATCTCGGAGTGTTTGGCCATCACGTGGCGGTCGTCTGCCGAGTCCGGCCGCCGCAGCTGCGGCACAGCAACACACCAGTGAGCATGGAGCAACGCACGGCGCTGAGCATGGGACGATTGTTCTATTGCAGCGAGCAGTGCTGAACATCTGCATGCACCAACTGAGTCCACTGCACTAGTGAGCACCAGACATTGCAGTGACTAGATCACATGACCTGGTGCAACCTATTCTGCTGGAGCAAACAGCATCGAGCATTTGCACGCGCTGAGCTCAATCCAGCAGCTCGAACAAAAGACGGCCGAAGTGGCTATACAATCAGTCCGTACGACAATCGTCCATGCCCAGGTGAAGCAGGAGGAGGCATCCAAGCCCCATCCCGCGGACGGCCCACCGGCCGCTGTGCCGCGCAACGGCCGACCGCCGGGCCCAGGCGCGGGCTCGGCGGCAACGATGGGCGCGCGGCTGGCGATCGCTCTGCGTGCCTTACGACCGACCGGCACAACGGCACCGGCCGGAGATACCGACACGCGTCCACCCCGGCCGGCGGCCGCACCCGCCCGCTCACCATGGGCGGCAGCGGTCCGAAGCGCGGTCCCATCGGACCCATCGGGCAGAAGGGCGGCACGCCCCGGCCACCGGCGCGCCGGAACCACTCGAAGTACTCGATCTCCTCCTCGTAGCGGCGCCGCTCCTCCCAGTACATGCGCTCCTCGTCGTCCATGGCCGTCTCCTCGCGGCGGCGCCACATCTCCTCGCGCATCTGCTGGCGGCGCAGCTTCTCCTCCTGCAGCTTGCGCTGGCGCAGGCTCGGCTTCACCTCCACCACCAGCTCCGGGTTCACCTTCTTCTTGTACTGCAGCCGGTGGCGCCGGCCCTTCATGTGCATCTCCTTGGCGTTCGGGTCGTTGAAACGGCACTCGCATAGCTTGCAGTTGAAGCTTACCACCTTGCCTGCAACGGAGTGGGGCCCGCTCACGTCTTGCGCATTACATCGCTGAGTAGGCGGCCAAACACCGATGAAGACCAGACACTGCAAATGTAAGGGCATCATTCCTGCTGTGGCTGGCTGCCAAGTCGCTCAACATCAGCCGGCAAGCCAAGGATTACAAAATCTGGTTAGTTCCTTCTCAAAGAAGCAAAGAGATCACGATTATTCTAACGTCAATCCGGCGCATCCACCTCCACGTACCTTCCTCGTTCTTTATCTCCTCGATGTACTCCTGGCCGACAGGCTCGACCTCCTTCTCGCCGAGGGCGGCGGCCGCCACCGCCTGCGTGTCGTCGCGCGCCGCCTCCGGCTTCTCCTCCTTGGCCGCCGTGCCAGTCGAGGTGGTCGTCAGCTTGGTGCCGCCTGCGCCGCAGCCGCTCGGTCAGACGGAACAGCAGGGAGCATGACAATAGCCGAGTGCCGCGCGAGGACGACCGACAACAGGCCGACAACGCGTCGTGGTCGACGGAGAAGCTATGCCTACAGATGGGAGTGGATGGGAGAAGTGACAAAAGCTGATTACACATATCTGGTATCAAACAGCTTAAAATGTCATTGAATCATGCATTACGGACATAAACGGCTTAACGTTTATCACAAATGCATCTATCCTCGAACACACATTTCACTGCTTGCTCCAATGCATTAAGCACACGTCAACACGGAAGGGCTCGGGTCGGCGACTTGTAGCGTGAAGCAGCATTGCCGGATCACCCACCAATGAAGTTGATCTTGGGCGTGGCCACCACCTTGGCCGTCTCCGTGGTCTTGGTGACGGCCGTGGTGGCAGCGGTGCTTGTCTTGGCCGTGGTGGTGGTCGTCTTGCCGGACACCACCACCGGCTCCGTGGACGGGATCGGCTTGCCCAGCTTCGTGTGCAGTTTCACCACCTGACGACGGGCGGCGTTACACAATCGGACGCCAGGCCGTAAGTCACACACTCAGCACACTAACATCAATGACGACGCCCGCTAAGGGCTACCTTGTCTGTGGTTGGTTCGATGACAGCATTGTGCCATGCATTCCAACACGCATGTGTGCAGTGTACCTTCACATTCACATTTCAACACAATACCACCTTTACAGCACGGCAAGGGTGAACTCTGGTCTAGTCGATGCCCATCACTGGTTCACAGTTCTCCTCAGACCACCATGCCTCGGCAGCGTCGCCAGGGCCGTGACTCACCTTCTGGTGTTTGGCACCGCGGATGTGCGCCGCGTACGCGTCGCTGCCTGTACACGTGACGTCACAGAGCTCACAGCGCAGCGAGTTGCCGCCACGCGGCGCGTTCGGCGTGCCGCCCGTCTGCTTCTGCGCAGACTCCTTCTTTTTATGTTTCTGGCCCTCCAAGTGCTCCCGATATGTCTGTAAGCAGCATGACGTCAATGCAGCAACACCTTCGTGCCGTGAGTCCACGATGTGGCACAAAAACACTACTGCCCGATCCTGTGTCATGAAAATACGAAAACATCGGAACACAAACATTGACATAAACATGCCGGAACATTCGGCAATGTCCTCATTCCACAGTACGCCAGACCGTTGTTCCAAAATTCATCCCGTATGTGTGTGTGGGGGGGGGGGGGGGGGGCGGGGGAGCAAGGAGGATGTAAACACAAATCCATGCCACCCGAGTCCCGACTCTCCGGCGGTCCTTGCACGCGATTCATTGCTGAAGCCTGAGGTGTTAAGATGCTGGGTTGGCTGCCACCCAGTTTGATAGTGATTAATCCATTTTGAGCAAGAGGAGGGGTGACAGGCAGTAAACCCCAAAGCCAGGAATCCCCTAGCATGCAAAACTATCCACATCTCCGTCACCTAAGCAGCTGAATATTGAAACGCCGCACTGGATGTTCCAGCACTGCTGTATATCAAGCATATCCTGAAGTTACTAACCCCCAAAAGCTTACGAGCATTACACTTCAATATACAGCAACATGCAAGCAACCCCCCCCCCCCCCCCCCCCAACTGCATGACACGCTGTGGCAACAGGCCATCCCCTCCCTGTACTGACCAAATGACCAATCCTGCCAGGCCTCTGCTGATGGTCATGTGCAGTGCCAGCAGTTCATATCTCATCTCTCATCTCACACTGTCCACACCTCACATGGAGTTCATTAGAACTTCTGAATGCCCACCAAACACGCCTTCTGCGCGTGCCGTGCGAGAGACCGACCTGGGGTCCGGCGCAGCTGATCTTGCAGACGTCGCAGTAGTGCAGCTGCTGTGGCTTCGGCGGCTGCTTCAGCTTGGGCTTCTGGCCGATGGCGCCGCCGACGCCGGGCCGCGCCGCCTTCCACGTGGCCGCGCCCTTGGGCGCCGTGTGCGCCTGCTGCTGCACGTACAGCGTCGCCGCGTTGTACAGTGCCGCGTCGTAGCCGCTGTAGTCTGCCGGCCGACGGCCAACCACGTCACAATTTGTCACAGTAAGATGGCAAGGGGACGCCATATGGCATTTTGTTCAAGAACACCATGCCGCACCATATTCCTCGAAGCGTACCGTGTTGCGCCGTATTTCTCAAGCGACGCGATACGAAAAGCAAGCATGAGACATCGGTACGGACACAGACAATTGTAAGCTTTTACACCAGCATTTTGCTTGCACTTACAACAGCCCATTTACATGCCTCATATTCATCTATGGAAGTCCGTCACCCATCTAACAGAATGTGCGCCCGCAAACTAAGGGCCGGTCCCAGGCGAAGGACGGCGGCCCTACTCTCGGGGCCGGCACGGCCGTGGCGCGACACGGGCGCGCCAAAACGGCGGCCACGTGCCGCGCGCCGGGCCGCGCCTTTCCTCTCCCACAGACATAACACGACCGGCCCAGAGCCAGGCCACCCGCTGACTTCTGTGACGCCGACAGCACCAACTGCCAGCACCCAACTCCAACCAAAGAAAATCGCGCGAACACTGCGATACCAAAACTACAATCATATACTAACGTAAATAAACCAAAGCCATTGAGACTGCACTGCCACATCATTTACGTACATTGTGCACCGAGACGAACTCACTTTTGTTGGCGGTGGCTGCAGCTGCGGCAGCTGCCTGGTTAGGGTAGGTGTAAGACTGCGCGGCGCCGGCGGCCGGGTAACTGTAGGCCTTGGTGGCTGCCTGGCCGGCCGGCCGCGCGCTGGCGTTCTGGTAACCCGCTGTGTATGTCGTTGAAGACTTGGCTGCAACACAAAGACCAGTGCTATACATTCAAATAATAAATAATACATGCAGGAAAACAACTGGAGTCACGTATTCTTGCAGAGTGGAAAAGGCCAAACGTGTGACACGCTTCCCCTCATAAACATCAAAAGGCTGACAGACACCACATTGGATTTTGACACAGTTGGAATTCCCTTAACGCAACATAAATGGTACGTCCCAGAGGAGGTATGTATGGCACCGAGCTTTGACCGCAATCCCAAGCGCGCAGCCTATTCAGCTCAGCGACGCATATTTTTGCATCCAATACAACCAGTTGTGACAGATGCATCATGCCAACTGGAATACCTAGGATGCCAATGTGTCAGCCTAATGATCAGTAAGTCACAAACTCAAGAAAACCTGCACCTGAGCCATATGGTGACCATGGCTGTATCAGGGCTCACAAGAGTGCAAAATGTGAACATCTACATTTCTTGATTAAGGTTACACCCTCATCATCATGACTTCCCACCACTTAAAACTCACTCCCCTAAAATTTACCAAGTACTATGCCCAGCTAAACCCTAGCAGGTAATGGGTACTAGCCTTCTGCCCATCCATGACATGCCAAATAACCATCAGTCATGCAGTACAATCAAAACCATGTCTTGCCATGTCAGCATGTCCTGCCATACATACAGAGCTCATTCCTATGATACCGTCACAGCCTGCTCATGACACTTACCCTGAAAGGCGGGGTCGGCACCAGCCGAGAACGACGTGCTGGTCGGCTGCGGGTAGAAGGCTGTCTTGGCGGCGTTATCGTACGTCTGGGCGCGCGGGTACGAGTAGTCGTACGTGGGCGCCGAGCTGGCCGTCGCCGCGTAGCTGGTGGCCGCCGCCGGCTGATAGGCGGCTGCCGCCTCATAGGCTGTGGTGGCGCGCTGCGCCGCGTACGTCGCCGCCGGCGTGTGGCCCACGGCCGCGTATCCGGCCGCCGGTGTCGCCTGGTAGGCGGCCGCGCCAGCTGCGGCCGCCGCGGCCCTGGCCGCGATACAATGCCACATCAGCATCAATGGTTTTGGCAGGAAATGAAAATATGCAATCACAATCTTATGGCCAAAAGGAAAAGCATGCTCAGGGTTCACAGAAAGTTTGTGTTTTAAAGTTTAAGAGTTCCCTAAACAACTTAGATGGTTGAAGTGACAGTTGAGACAGCTGAAATGGTAAAGTTTGAGATCTCAAAGAGATTCAGGGAATGCTTGAACACAAAAACACCATGACATGGCTATTACCAGATAAATCCCCATCACCAACTTCCATCCAGAATTATGTGCAAAGCAAATATTCATCTGGTGGCAATCATGGTGTACCAGTGCATTTGTTTTTCAACTAATAACAAGGAAAACACATTTTCAATCTTATCTTTCTGTCAACACTGCATAAATGGTTGGCATGCTCTGTCACATGCTCTGTGATGCTCTGTGACATTACATAGTGCTGTCTCTGCTTTACGATTGCAACTACAATTTGTATACAATTTCTTACAACCCCATTCATTTGCTATTAAATTATGACCTTGATAACCCTGGACATTTCACTAAAAATCCCTTTAAAGTTCTTGTCTGTTCTGTGTCATTGGGGCTTTACGACGCACTCAGCTGCTGAGGCTATATGGCATCGCCCGCCTATCACCCTGGCAGGAAGGGCAGGCATCGCGGGGGAATCGAACCCCGTACCTCTGGTTTCCCAGACACGCAGTGGTTAAAGCAGACACGTTAACCACTACACTACTGGCACCCCTTCTTGGCTGTTCTACTGCATATAAAAAAATAGTATACAAGACAAGAGCTACCCACAACACCTGCATGAACCAGCATGAAACTCAACCTGGGGTCCTTAAAACATCTTGTCTCTTTCTTGATGCTGTTTTAGAAATCTGATGCTAACTCCACCAACTAAAAAATGTTTTTTTTCTGGTACTCACTCAGAAACATGTAGTCACATTTGTCACAATGGAACTTACCAACATCTGTCTGTTACATTTCAACTGTGTACATAACATTTCAGGCAAAATGTCCTTGAATCCAGCACACCTAGCATATTGTGAACAGATCTCAATGGAGCAAAGGCAGGCAAGAAGTGACACTTCAGGCAGATGTGGAAAAGGAGAGACATTAGAGAAAGGTAGTTTTGCATGTGGCTGCTAATACAATCCAGTGTATCCAGAAATTTGGTGATAAGGCTCATGCACTGGGACAAGCAACAGGTGCAAAAATCCCAAGCCGCATGCCCAGAGGGCACTGCAATGTTTGCGTCGAACAGGTGAACCAGCAGCAAACAACTGCAATAAAAACAGGCAGGGCAGTATGGGAATTATGCTCATGGCAGGCCTAATTGTGTTATCATCCAACTCTATGCCTATCAACTGAATCTATTCTGGTAATTACTTATCATAACCTTTTTATCATCTGAATGGTGATACATGCAGACTAAGTGATGTCTTATTTCCCAAGATATTGCATGAGTGACAGAATGGCATATGTGCATGTCACAAATTTACTGACCATGGCTGTTGTGGTGATACCATGCACAACACTTTTAATTCAAGACATCACAACATATGAAAAGCTATCACAGTGGACAAAGTTGAACAGAGCGCCAGCTCAGAAGTTCCAATGGCGGATGATACCACCCTTCTGTCAGCACAGTCTCTGGGCTATAACTTTTCTTGCAATAAAACCTCACTGGGGGCTCCTGCCTCCTGACTCCTATCCCACAGCCTGACTACCAAAATGCACTATACACTGAACATGTGTGTGTATTGGGGCTTTATGACACACTCAGCTGCTGAGGCTCTATGGCATCACCTGTCTCTCACCCTGGCAGGCAGGGCGGGCACTGCAGGGAATCAAACCCAGTACCTCTGGTTTCCCAGACATGTGGTGGTTAATGCAGATGTTAACCACTACACTAGTGGCACCCATATACTGAATGTGCTTGGGGTAGTAGTGACATTGCAGAATAACTTCTAGATATGCACACCATAAATCCCATCAATCAAGCTTAGAGCACTGTTGCCACCTGTCTGTGCAAAGGAGCCAATATTACAAGGGTAAACAACATTGAGAGGGTAATTTCAGGCCAAAATACTCCAACATTTGTAAAAAAATAATTTCAAAGCAAAATACAGTTCAAAATATAATTAAATTCAGCAAATATTGGCCTCCCTGTTTGATGCACACCAAGGCCAGCATACCAATATCACTGCAAAGTTTGGTTAAGTGGCTTGATTTTTTTGCATGTGCAATTGGGCAACAGGATTCCACAACATTGTCAAATAAATTACCCTCATTTCAAAATGTAAATGCAATGTCAACTACATCAATCTACAATATAAAGCAATCTGACATCAAACACCAAATCATGTCCTTAATATGATAGTGTTTTCCCCTCCCCCTTTCCTTCTCCAACTCACTCAGCAAAACAGGTGTTAATTAGACATCAGGAAATTGTTGAAAACCCCTATTGATCTCAGGGCCTGTTCTAAGCAAGCAGGCTGGCTGCCAAGATCTATGATGATAGCATTCCAGGATTGGGCCTGCTCTACACATTTGTGAACAGTCTCCCCAATCTACAGGTGGCAGACCAGTCAGGAGATTGGGGGCAAGCTAGATCCTGCCCCACATGAAACAACCAGATTTTGTCTCAGGCAGGGGACGATGATCTGATGACCGGTGTGGTCAGGTCAGCCATACATCAAACAGGCAAGCATCAAACATTCTGTGATGCAAGACAAAAATTCATGGCTTTGGAGCTATGTGCATGATAAGCACAACTACCTTATGGCATGCCATTGTTTCTGGTTGGTTTGCCTGTCAGCAGATTGCAAGCAGTGAAAACTGGAGCTAGCAAGCATACTTTCAACCTTGTACAACATTCTGGATCAGGGTACTTTGATCGAATTAACAGACTTATGGCTATAGTGGATGTACAACCATATGCAGGGCATGACTTGACTACACAAACAGGTTGATGAACTTGTATGCTGAGGGGCTGTTGCTTTAATGAAATCACTTCATGGTTTTAACATGCTACAACAAACTTTTGTTTTTATGAGATATCTACTGCATAGTACTGTAACCTACTCAAATCAAAGGGCCACTGCTCTTGCTACAAAATATCGATGAAATCCGTCAACCTTGCTTGGCTCACACCATCAGATATCACAGTTGCTTCCTATTATCAACTGCTTTGCGATTAAAAAATTGTACCTTACTGCATATCGAGGCGAGGACAATTTAATCAACCACTCCATACTGAAGGCAAACTCGACGCACATCTTTTCAATGATCCTCATCAGTGCTGGGCCGTCGCGTTCCTAGTTAACTCGTACTGTACGTGCCCGTCCGAAAACGGTACGAACATCGGCATCTATACGGAATACCATAAGACGCCACTTACCACCCCCACCCTCACGCAAGACTGAAGTGAATGGAAAGCCCCTCTGCTATCAGCCACCGTATAATACCACACGCATGAGATGAGAATTACCTACCCGTATTGAGTGCCGCCATGGGTAAATCCAAAGTAGTTATTCGCCGCCATGACGGGGCCCCACAAAAATGCGGGGCGGGGGATACCCCGGCAACCGACACTCGGCCCCTGCCAGAAGGAAATGCGGGAGACGCCGGCAACGGAAATGGACGGAAAATTGTAGATGGCGCTATTTTAGTGCTGTTGGAAGGGAGGGATAAAGAGATGTACATCCGGTTTCTTGAAAACAAATTTTCTTAATATTCGTTTAAACCAACAAGCTTACAAAATGTTTGCCTTATTTTGAAAATAATAGTAATTTGACGATAAATACAGATCATTTTTCCGCTCAACAGTGGTCTAGGGTCAATGTTAAAATAAAACAGTGTGACTAAATGCAAAAAGAGCATGTGATGTGCTGAAACCTGTGGTCCATGATCGGACACTGCTATAGTCATGCAGAGTCGAACACAAGCAGAGGAGATTTCATTGCAAAAAAAACACAAATTTTAACAAAAATGGTCATGTTATTGATATTTACCAAAGGGAAAGGCTTTCTTCGTATTGAAAGCTTGTCTCAGGTTACGGGAGACGGCCTCCTGCAACCTGAGAGGCCCACGCTTTCGGTTGTAGAGCTCTAGGTTTCACCTTTCTGGTCGGAATTAGCCTACGTCGGTCTGCGTGGTGCTCCTATTCAGACCAGCAAGGGCCTAATAACTGATCCAAGGATCAGAGACGCTTCTGGAAAGCGGTCTTCATCATTGCTGCATTTCGATGTTTTCAGAAACGTATCCATAAAACGTATCTGAGATAGTCGAGGCCGAAGTGCGCAGCTTCGCAACCTGTATTGGATAGGCCTTGGAAGCGATGAAACACCGAAAAAACCAACATAGGTCAAAAACATACTCATTCCATGATTTGGCCCACCTCCCTCCTAGAGTTCGGGATTTAACCCGAGTGGGGGCTAAAAGTGCCGTAAAAAGCCCAAGTGCTGGCAAAAGCTCGCCCCCCCCCCCCCCCCCCACAGGAGGGAACACAGCCCTGCTCGTCACCTTTCGACGCTTGGAGCCGAACTTGCACCTTTCTTGGGCGAGCTATGGACGGAGTTGTGTGAGTTGGCCCAAAGCTGGGAGGCCTAAAGTCAGCCATACGTCCATGAGGTATTTTGGGGACATAAATTGGGCGATCAAAACAGCATGACGAAGTGGCACCGATTCTATATTTCTGAGCCTCACAATTTGGGAGGGGGCTTTTTTGTGTGTATATGGGGTGCAACCACATCCGTAAGTGGTTGCACCCCTAACAGGTTATGGCGTTGCACGAAAAAAGAATGAGCAAAAATGGCATATCTGGCATATTTGTACATAGGGATATGCTCCATTCACTTTTACCAAGTGTGATTTTGTTCCTTCGGTTTTTCCAATGCAATGGACGTGGGTAAATGACGTTTTCCCTATTGAAAACAGATTTTTGTAGTCCAGCTGCCCTCCAGATTTCAGCTTGACCCCTTTGACGGCCCTCCTCATCACGAGTTATCTCCACTCCCCCATCTCAGGGGCGTGGTTATGATTTCAGGGCTATTTGCCAAATCACGTTAACCGAATGGTATTTCACCGCATGTGAAACGCCTGAACGTTTTTTAGGTATTATGTTTGCTTACCCCCATGCTGAAACGGACAACGGCTAAAGGGCGAAAAACATATTGCAGAAATGTCTTTTTGATGACGTGCAAATTGCCAAAACGCAAATAAGTCGCAACCCTTGGCAACCGAAAACTAATTAGCCAGAACGGTAACAGGCCGGATGCCGGTAAGTTGAACGGGATTTAGGCGGATGGCAATAAAGCGAATCGAACATCAACAAATGGTAAATTAACCGAATGACTTTTCGTCGAAATGAGAATATAACAGACAGTTACTAGACTAATGTAAATTCTTGCAAAGTTCAGTCAGCCGAATTCATTCACTCGAAATGTGAATGGATGACTGAAAATTATCTTAAAAAAACGTTAGCAGACCGTACGGGCCCCCATAAAATGCCCACGCGTTCCGCGCAACCATCATTTGACCAGGACATAGAGAAATTCGGTCTGGTTGACTTTTTAGTCATTGATAAAGCTAGACGGGCAATCGGACAGTAGCCTTTCCCACTGTGACCTGACACGACACATAACAGGTCACATATGCCGATAGCAACTAGAGCCCATCCGACACAGGCCTTTTTAAAGTGAATGTTCCACATCTGAAGATGTTGAAGCAAGCATCAGATGTGATGAAATGAAATTTCTTATAACCCTTTTCATCTTTTTGAGTGAAAAGGGCTGCTCTAGACAATACAAAATTCATGTTAAGTAGACGCATGTCCTTCGATACGTCACGGTTTGATTACGTTATCGTGCCTTGCACAAGCTTGATTGAGAGCCATTTGGTGACTGTTTTATCTGAAAATCGTAATCACAACGCCAGATATATACGGCTCAACAACTTTATCTCTGGTGTCGGTCGCCGTATGGCCAACGTAATGACAGGATTTGAATGGCATGATTATAACGTTGAGGATGCCTGGGTGATCTTGAACCAGTCTGCATGAAATGGTCTGCACATTTTCGCGGACGCGTAGCCCAGGAACTGGAAAGGTTTAGCTCTGAAGAAGAGCAGGGCCGTGAGCTGCACCAAATGATCTTAACTTTGGCTATTTCAGTTCAAAACCCCATACAAATATGGAAGACTCCTGTTATGAGTTACTCATCAGCGCTTCCGTATCGTCGTAGCATCATTGGTTCTTGCGGTAATGGGGGGGGGGGGGGGGGCAGAGGGAACCAGGATTTAACTTTCCAAAAGTCACATTGGCCATCGTTCGGTCACACCATGCTGATACAGTTTGACGAAAGCTTTCCGACGCTGTCTCCGCCCCGCTCCGCCGTTTTTTTACATTGCTGAGTGGTAGGGGGGGGGGGGGGGGGCGGTCGATGCAACCACCACCCCCTGTCCGTTTCCAAACTAGTAAAGAAAGAGCGTAAAAAGCGCCGGTGGGATGGTCTCAAGGAAACCTCGCGATTGGTAACTAGCCTTATGCTGCTAGATCAATATTTTACCCCATTATGTCAAGTAAAAGGTCAAATTTTGCATTGTTTGCCCAAATTCTTTGCAGCGGAAGCAGTGACGAGCATAAGTTTCGTCGCGCAGCACTAAATACATGTATAAGTATTGACAGTAGAAGTAATGTCGTGGTGCACTCCTGTCGGCAGGGCTTTTTGTTGTAGCCCTAATGCCGTGGAACTCCTATCAGGGCGATTAAAAACTTTAAATTACTCCCCAGTCAGGGTGACGTTTTAGCCGAAGTCCTCAGAAACTGCTAATTTGCCAAAGAAGGGCAACTTGGCATTCGACCAAAGAGCACTTTGGCAATTAGCATTCGACTAAAGAGTATTTTGGCAACTTGGTATTTTACTGAAGAGCACTTCGCCAAGTTGAACTTCGGTAGGCATGTATGCAGTTCGACTTATTGGAATATCGTCCATTTAAAATGTCAGCGACAAGGCATGTTCGACATGTTGGCAAGGCATGTTGTTGCGGTTCGACGTTGACAATTTCGTGCCCTTAACAAGGCGGAAGTTGAAACGTCGAAAACATAGTATTAGATTAGACGCATCCGGAAAAATGCACTGGACTGGAGAAAATTGGATATTTCCTCATGAGTTTCACAATTTTGCATCATTCCGCCAAATGCATTCCAGTTTTTTTTGTACAGATGCCCGTGGTTATGGCCATCCACCAAGCCCTTTCACGCTGCGCAGAGGATTTTTTTTTCTGAAAGTTTTGTTTTGCGTTTTTGCGTTTTGCGAAAGTTTTGGAAAGTTGTGCGAGCCAATTCCAGGACTTCTGAGAGCAGCTGGAGCACCAAGTTCCGCGGTCACCTCTATGTAGCGCGCCCCCTTCCCCTTGTAGACATCTTAAGCTCGCTCAGTAAATTTGTAAAACGCGAACACAGGGGGGGGGGGGGGGGTTGTTCAATTTAATGAAACACGTTTCCTACCACACTCTGGCTGTGTTTGAACAAAACTGAGTTCCATTACAAACAACGCGACAAAAAACCGCAAAACCCAGCGAATGCGTTTCATGTTGGGTTTTGCCTTGCTCGACAAATTCCACACATTGCCACTGTCACGCAGGAGTTCCCTGAAATTATGCGGTCCCACAGCGGCCACAGTTACGTTACGCGGATGCTTTCTTCGGAATTTGCTTGCACGTCATACTGGCCACAATTATCTTGCGCGGGTATTCTCCTTAGTTGGCTGGTGGCGCTGTCATCACTGTAACGCATAGGCGATGATTGAAATGGGCAGAAATACTACTATTTGTAAAAATAAAAATACCAATGCAAGCTCACGCTATCCATCATGTCACTGCATTCCGGAGTTGCCAGTATTTCATTCCAGTTTGGATCTAGTTTCACACGGCCCGTCTGCGGGGGCCAGCCGGGTGTCGAAGCTCTTCTGTCCTGCTCGCCGTCCCGGGGCGTTTCGGCCTGTCGGGCGTACCCGCTCAGTGCGGCTGTGGTGGCACTGCAACATAACGAGCAGGTGGTCCCCGCCCACCCGGCACGTCCGCCTCCGCCAGCTCACCAGGCAGCTGCGCGGTACGGCAGCCGCCTTGGCCGGACCGCCGGCCGATGTCCATGCTCGAATGTCTCGAATGGGCTGCTACATATGCCATTTTTGCCGTGTCTCGAACCGACTGTGAACTGTACACGCAAAAGTATCGAGTGTGCAGAGTGTCTCAAATTGACTGCTAACTTTTTACTCATCTCAACCTTCGGATTTTGTGTCAACTTCTCGCCTGCGGTCATTTGGAGACAAGCCAGGTACATACGGACCATCGAGTGGCATCAAAATATTTGAGGGATGCCACACAGGGGGCGGCGTCTGGATCGCTGATGTTTACTCCCGCCACGGATCGTGTCGTTGTTGGGCTATTCGGACGCAGGATAATTGTTCCGGATGGTCAGTGGAAATGATAAGTGAAACTGAGTGGCGATGATACGCGAGACGGGTGCACTACGAACGCCCAAACGATGGAACAGAGATCGCTTGGGTAAGACTCGAAGCACGATAGACAATTATCTCCAGAAAAATGCAGTTTGGCAAACTTTTTGGGGTGCCCACCAAATGTTCTTAAACAAAATTACTCCATGCCACCTGAACCAGCCGACGATTTCCCGCCGCAGGCCGTTGGCGCCGGACCGGTCGCCATGCCAACCAACGATTCCGCGTCCCGGTCGGGGCACGGAGGTTAGCGACGGCTGGCAGTCGCGCAATCTGCACCACTGCTGCACGGTATGGAGGAAGAGAAGGCCCTGCAGCTGTACCTGGAACACTACAAGGACTACCTCACCATGGGCCTGCAGCGAACGCTAGGTTAGCGACACTTTTTGCTGCTGCATGTATGCAAGTCGAACGTTGCTACCGTGAGAGGCGTGGGGGCACGTGTAGAGGAGAGAAACGGGCTCACTTTTTAACCATCGCGGCACTAGCGGTCCGGCAGTTTTCAGTCGTCCCCTATTTTACCTTAGATCTTCCCGAGGCTATTCCTTCGTACTAGTTACTAAACTACCAAACACATTATGGAGGAAACTTTCCGTAGCAAAGTACACAACGTTTTTACACCCACCGGCTGCAAGAATTCGATGGGTCTTCGTTTTGGTCGGCTGTGAGCGATGAGCTGGGTAGGAGTCACACAGTCAAATCACAAAAGTCTGTCAGTGTTGCATATCCCCTTAGGATGACCGAAATCATTTGGCATGCACCAAGCGTTTTGATGCGGGCACAAATAAAAAACTCAAAACAAAGAAGCGGAAAAACGGTATTCTTTGCCTGTTCCAAATGTCTTTACTGGCAAACATCGCTCCCGCTGATGTGTGATTAGTTTTGTATGATCAAATGAGTCAAGAACTACAAAAACACGTGCACCACTGTGAAGCAACGTAGTTCAACGTTGGAAACCGGGCAAGTTATTTTTCACTCCACTGATCTTAGTTGAACCGCCAAAGGTCACATCAAGTGGCGCCCTAAAACACTCACCTGACGAAGGTTTAAGTGAGCTCACCGGTGCTGCTTTCCGCTTGGCCCAACGTGCTTGGTTTCGGAGCCGCCGAGCAACTTAGGATGTCCTGTCCTCGAAAAAGGAGCCGAGGACCTCCCTCCAACAGCCCGGGACCTTTTTCCAACAGCCAAGGACCTACCTCTTACAGCCGAAGACCTCCCTCTAACAGCCGAGAACCCTCCTCCGTCCGGGGAAGACAAATGTACAGCCGGTGATAGTAAGCTAACTCCCACCATTGGGCTATCACGATTGTCGCATGCAGTGTGCGTGTGTGTGTGTGGGGGGGGGGGGGGGGAGCATGCACAGCTCCTACCTGCCCCCGTTCTTACGCATATAACTGACCGCCCATCGTCACCTGTGTATGCGTGAGGTCATGACTGCGTCCAATGAGTCATGCTGTCTGCCTGGCGGACTACTTTTTAAAATTGGTCGGACGTAGATGTATATGACGCGCCAAGAACTACGTCTGGTCCTGGTCGCACTGGCAAGGCATCGATTCATTGCGTGGTGAAATCGTCAACAAACCGGATCGGTACCATGTGGAATGGTATCAAGATCGATGAACTATATTTCGAACTGCTGTAACCAACATGATTCAAAGGAAACTGAGTCGGAATACACCCCAAGGGTGCTGTTTCCTATTGAGTTGAGAGCTCCATCCCCCCCCCCTTCCAACTTGAATCCATCCCCACAAACTTTGAGAAGGAAGTGGGCTAAATCCGGAGCCCCCCCCCCCCCCCGCCACCTCAACTTGTTTTGCGTGACTGCACCCCCATCCCTGATACAGAGTGAATTTCTAGAGCCTTATTTTGCAGTGATCGAAGCAGGCGCTGCTAGAACTGAGAAATAGGAGCGAAAATTCCTTATGGCAAGCTGCAGGATCACGCCGAGAACATTTGGGATTATGAATGTGCTGATTCTCTTTATCGTTGGCTTGTGTGATTCCAATGATACATCAGGCTATTAATTCGTACATAACACAAAAGTGATTCCATGATGCGAATAAGCTATTGTAATAATGGCGTGGCTTCATTACTACCGCGAGTGCGGCGGGGACTTCCCTCCCTCTCCGCTGACGTCAATCAGTCGACTACCGCGTTTTGTATTTGCCCCTTACTGAGAAGAATCCGTAACACTATCACCGCAGCTGACTATCCCCATCCGGCTTCGGCCCGCGATCTCCAGAGCCGCCCGATGGCCGTTATACCAGCGGGGGTTCAGCTCGGAGCAGTGGTCAGGGAGTGAGCTCAAGGCCTTCGCGTGCCTTTCCCGCTTTTGAAATGTCACATCACTCATGCATACTATTCAGTTCAATTCATCACGTTTATTGGGGGAATCACAGGAAAGACAAATGATATACAGCCATTAAACATTACATGTCAGGACACAAACCAAGCAATATATGGACTAGACATTTGCAATGTTTACAGTGTGCATGTACGTCAGAGCACGACAACACAAAATACCAGCCCAAGGGGATATATGGCGGAACACATCCCGTATGTAATATAAGGGATATGTCAATTTTGCCTTCGTAGGCCTTGTCAGCAAATACGTCACAAACGGATCTTCAGAATAGTCTTAAGTAAATGAGTAGAATGCTGGGAGAATCCTCATTTCACTTGGTGTCCTCCTCTCCGTCTTGTATTGTCTTATCCTCCTGGCACATGGGTGCATAGACGCTGTTGGAAGCGGGTACCCGATATAAGTAGTGCCATTATTGCAGGGTTTTAGGCCGCAGCGTTACGGCCGAAGATATGATAAAGTGATAGCGTTGGGCATCTGTTCGCAGTTGTTGGGATCGAAAGACTGCTGTTCGGGAACCATTTGCAGGCGTTTTGCAACATATTCAATCGGGGTATTTTTGGGATCAGTCTCAGTCTTCAACGTCGATAATTATTCAAAAATCACCACGTGCACCGACGTATGTTGTGGAGCAGGTTCAGCAACGGGTGGTCTGTCCCAACGCAAACGCACCAGCAAGAAAGATAAGTAGCATCCCTCTCAACGCATCAAACCCTCTTAGTTGGGCGTCTTTGGGCCCCATGAAACGACAACTGGGCTGAGCTAACTGAGGAGCTGTGTGAGGAGCCGAGCAAAGCTCTGGCGAAAAGAGAGGGGCACACAGGCGGGACAAGGTGTGTTAAGGCGATTCCAAGATAATACAATACAGGAACAAAAACGTTGCACGGGACGGCAAAATTCCGCTTCGCGACGTCCAACATTTACCAGGCCCGGGAAGATTCGCACACGAGAACTGTGCTGGAGAACTGGAGGTCATCAAGATGGCTAACAGCGAATAGTGGACAATCTGAATTTAACAGTGACATGGGAAGGCTCCTCAGACAGTCTGGCCCTCCCATTCTGTACAATAAACATCCTAAATATGACAGCGATAAATGGATCATTGGCTTATTTTTAGTCCCAGTGGGGATTACTCTTTCTCCTATATGTACCTTTGTGCTGTCATTACTATACCCGACTTAGTACGTAGTTGAACACCCTGCTTCCACCAAAATCCGATTCAAAATAAACAATCCCACACAGGTCAAATCGCTACAAAGACACCTCGTCACCATGCCTAGAGCCTGGGCATAGCGCTGTTCCCGTGCCGGGTCCATCACAACTCAGGATCGGCGCCGTCATCGCCCAGCACGCCACCGAGCCAGCGGACCCAGCCGCGGCAGCTCTCTCCGTCCAGCCACAGCCACAGCACGACCGCGTACTCCAGGTAGCCGAGCGCCATGCCGGCCAGCACGTCCAGCAGGTAGTGGCGGCGCAGCAGCATGCGCGAGGCGCACACGCAGGCGGCCCAGGCCAGCAGCGGCGGCGCCAGCAGCGGCGGCCAGGCGGCGCGCGACAGCAGCAGGCCCGACAACAGCACGGCGCGGCACGCGTGGCCCGACGGGAACGAGTACTGGTCGACGGCCTGCACGGTGAGCCGGTCGTCGCGGTTGGGCGCCGGCCGCCGCCGCCGCGCCACCGCCTTCACGACGGCCACGCACACCAGGTCCAGCAGGAGCGCTGCCGGCACGGAGCGCGCGCGCTCAGCAGCCGGCAGGTACACGTCACCGGCGTACGTCAGCTGCCGCCAACGCCGGCCACTTCCCGTGTGTGGCGACGAACTAGTAACGCCCCCCCCCCCCCCCCGGGACACGACAGCTCATAACGCGAGCTGTCTGCTGACTGTCAGCGATGGATTCTGACAGCAAGCAGTCATGTATTCACTGCTATTGGTGCAATTTCGTCCTGTTTCCAATCCAGCAATTTAGTTGGCTACATGCTGCTTTAATTGCTACATTAACGCCACGCTTTTTCCGCCTGAGCCTGCCAGACACATGTGACCAAGTTGTGTGCCTGGGTAACTGACCTGCAAACACATTGACAAGGAAGCAGTCGATGCTGGTATCCCGGAACAGATATATGCCAGCCACAGCAGCTGCGATCGTCGGAGCGCCGTGGCAGCTGAACTGTTGGAAAGGTGCCAGCAAACAGGAGTGAAAACAGTGTGGTTTCCAAGCAATCAACATGAAACTTGTTCAACAGCCACATTGGAGGATGGTGGTAGAAAACAGTTTGGGGCTATTGGTAGCAACAACCATGAACACAACACCCATGATGTTGTAAGTGGTGCCACATACCTCAAGCAGATGAAAGGTGGGTTTCCATCTGTGAAGAGGCAGAGCTTTCTCTGCAGCAAAGCAAATGTGCCCAGTGATTGTCTTGTCAGCTTCCAGTATTCTGGTCAACAGTGGAGGAACTTGTCTTTTCTTATGTTCCATTCCTGCCTCTTCTGCACTTTCTATCTCAAAACCTAAAAAAGTCAGCATTTCAGATTTCAGTAAACATCTGCATCAGGGTATATCTATACTGCATACTTCTTCTTACAAATTTAATGTACTAACTGCCTGCCTTACTATGCTGTTCATATCTAATTTGTGCAGCCTATATTTAAGTGGGGATTTTAGCATAATGTGCAAACTGCCTGCCTTATCATTCTGCTCATATTTAATTTGTCCACTCTTTATTTTACTAGCAATTTTTCATAATATTGCATGCAAGTATGAGCAAAAATAAAATCACTTAACACATCAAACTAGGTGCATGCATAGGACAATCAGGAGTTGGATGTCTTTTAGCTTGTCAACAACACTATTTGTGCAAAGTTGCTTAGGGGCCTAATGAACCTATGATGTGCATAAAACCTATGAGCTGATGGTCCAGGAGTGCCCACTACTAGCACCTCACAATAAGAATTGTTCTTAAAAATTTGGTGACATATAAGTGCTCAATTCACATATGTGAATCACAAAACATGCCTTCAATGGCACTGGCACATGCACTGAACCATACTGAGTAAGTTTGAGTGCTACTTTACCCACTAGTTTAGGAAGCAGTAACAGACCTCCACATTAATGGCCCCATTTTCCCTTGCTAATGTATATTAAACATAAAGCCTGCAAAAACACCCAATGTCTTCTTTTTAGGCTGCGTCCAAAACATCTCATATATTTAATGCATTTTATATGGCAGTCAGGGAAAGGGCAGCATGCTTTTACATGATGTTTATTCCTTCAGTTGCTGGGCAGTTATCTAAATCATAGGTCAGGCCTGCCAACCACTTTAAAACTTTATTTTGTTTCCAACTTATGGCAGACATGGCAATTCTAAAAGCAGTCTCCTTTCCCAACTGTGAAACTATACATATATCAGGGATTTGCATTCCTTTCTTCACTCCATGGTATAATATCATGTTCTGATATAGTGCTGATAGGTGGATAAAATGCTAGGTACTAGGAGAGAAAGCCACAGTGTCAGCACACATGCAGTGATATAGCATGCTTCCTCTAAGCCTCTCAAACTGTCATAAGCAGTTCAGGTTTCAGCTGACACATGATTTTATCTGCTCAGATCCCTGATCATAATTGATATCACAGCAAGCATTATGATACCCTGGTAGGTAAAATATCTTGATACAATACAGCCAATTTGGTGACTGGAGTTTCTGTACATGGGACAATTGTACCAACTTCTTACAGGTTTGTGCATGCTGCAGCCAACAAATTCTGGATATACTACAGCACTATGGAACAATAGCTGGTTAAAGGATCATGAGCTCAACTTCTCTTATATTTTTCAAAAATAAACTGATCAGGATGAGAGAACTACATTAGGGCACAGAACACAAGTGATACCCAAAAACTACATGATTACATACTACTAGCCTCACAATAAAGTAAAGATCATCTCAAGCCACTTATCAACAATACCATAAAGACACTTACATAGGTGAAAAACAAAAAGTGTAATGAGAAGTGCTACATGAATGGATGCTTCAAGCTTCCAAAACTGGAAGATAATACTAGAAATATAGTAGATCTATCATTAATTACTTACAACCCAATATGTGATGTGGTCACATGCAATTGTTAATTACCTTCATTGTAATCATTCTAAGTATCAATTCTACATAACACAATTAGGATTTTCACAATATGCTTAACTTAAAGCTGTACACCTATCAATTAATGATCACCCTATTAAAACTTCCTGTGCATCCAACTGCTACACTTAAGATAATATGACCAGTGCCTGAACTCTTCACGAATGACTGTTTAATAGTCAATACCAACAACAGATGCCATTTTTAAACCTGTTCAATTTACTGTAGACTGTTCAATTTACTGTTTACTGTAGATTCAATTTACTGTACCTGTTGTTTAAGTTAAGCTTGATCAATAGAGATCCTATGTGCATAAGCCACCTGTTCTCATCGCTGTTTAAAACCCAAGGCACACAGCTTACCCTGACATGGACATACTTACAGGTCAGCAGTATTCACCCTCTCGTCACGCAAACAAGCAACCAAAACGCCGAGCCTCAATACGGCATATTAGTCGAAAATCTTCTGCACCTATCTGCCATTGTAAAATAGGCATATCACTACTGTCGCCGTCGCGTCAGGTATACACGTATATGGTAGCTGTGAGTTGGGGAGGTTGAATATGGTAGCACTAAAGGACTATGAAAAGCGGAGGATTTTCCTAGGCAGTTTAAGTTGCATTGCATTTGCATAAGTGAACAATTGGGATTGTTTTTTCGAAGTCACACGTTGATGGCAGCTCAAGGTATAACCAAAAATACAGACGTCAGTCAGGTACACACACAAAAGCACAACGCTATCGCTGCATTTCCCTAATCCATTTTGTTAAAAACCTGCGTGGCTGACGGTGCCCGAATTCTTACCGGCTAATGAAACAACAGCTTTCAGTGCTTCCACCCTCGTTGGCCCAACTTGACCTACTACAGGCTACACCTGGCTCTTTTTATTGAAATGTCGCGTGACTCACGTCGCACAAATATTGACAGGCCATTGAAACACAAGCTGTCGCCAAATTTGGCCTGACCTGACATGTCTCAGGTCACGCCTGTCGATACCCACCAGTGTGCCCATCTGATAGTTTTTGAATAGCTATGCTACACAGTTTACTGCACTGTCGCAGCATGCTTTGTTCTTGGAATAGCAGGAGAGCTATCCGAAGTGATGATTTAACCCCTGTGACATGAGTTGCCCTGTAAAAGGCCACTCCACCATTGTTTGCTCACGCATCTGGTGCAATTTAACAAGGGCATTCTAATTCCAATGCTGTTTTCCCGTGGTTTTAGTTTGCTTAGTTTAAGAGATCATAGCGGACCTTCAAGGCCAATCCCTCGGACAGCGAAGGTGAAACACAAGTTCGTGGGGCCAGGTCTAATGCGTGCTATGCTGACCTGCGCCGACAAACAGCTTCATTGTTGCCGTCGGGTGATGTGCATAGTGCAAGTAAGATTTTGCTCATTTGACATAGTTGCGGTTCGTTATGTGTGCAGAGTATGCTGCGGAGGGACCATGGATAGGAAGTGGTTACGGTCTGCTGTCTGCTGGAACTTTCCTGCTCACGAAAAACTAAACTACCACAGTCTGTGTCAAAAGATGCGGCAGAGAAGTGCCACATGGACAACGGCAGTGTTCAGCCAACCTTGATGTGTCTCCACATCTCGACAGACTGTTTCTGGCGACCGCAAAGCAGGGCCATGCCACAAAAACCGCAGTTACATCGCATAGCTGGCATGAACAGATGGTGCTGAGCCCAGAGACCGGACGTCGGACGGCTGTCTGCTGGATGATGGCCAGTCCCCGGTGGCACGTCGGGCCGACGTCTGCTCGGTCTCCTCCTGTCGTTTCCGACGCTGACCAGCTGTCGGCGGGGCGCCGAGAAATGCTGGGAAAATGTCGACCCAACGCCACCTTGTCGTCGGCTAGAGTCGGGTCTTTGTCGGCTTAGGCTGACATTACAGCCGACCAGATGTCCGTAAAGCCGAAGTCGGGCCGCTGCACACCGACAGCAGCCCGATATCGAACAAATGCTGAGGCCTGCGTCGGCCCGCTGTCGGCGCATTTTCTGTGACACCCTTGTCAAGGGCAACCATTCGAATGGGCAGCACGCCTGCACTCCATAATCCTAGCTGTTAGCTGATAGCATTTTACAGGAAATTCCGTAAGAGTGAAGGGTAATCAAGAGGCCAGGGGTCGGGCAGGTCAGGAGTTCTTTCAAGAACACCCACCCTATGTCCCGGAAGGCGTTGAGAGGGCTTGATTTAGGTCTGACGACAACCAGCAGATGAGGGCCTTCCCACCGATGTCATGTCTCGAAAACGAAGCAGAGCAAGCGACGTATTGTGTCGTTTGTGAGGCATTTCCAGTAGAGTCGGAAGACAGTCGGAGACTTTCAAGTAACCCTTTCATTGTTCTCATTGTGGAGCAATCCGTTAAGATAACCCGACAAAATTCCTCCACCAGATGATGTCGATCGCGTTATGAAGCGGTGATAAGGAGCATGGAGCATGTATGCCAAGTAACACTTTGCAAGTGCAACTTGTAATGCGGAATTCACTCAAATCATTCGGCCTGCAATTTCATAAACGAAACACCATACATGTCGCAAATACGTAAGTATTGCAATGATTAGACGCCCATCACGGGTTTGTCGCTGACAATAGATGGGCATAATAAACGGTGCGACGAAATAGGTTTGCAACCAAGCTGATGTTCGTTTACTTTGTAGCGCTTGGTACTTGCTATGAACAGACTCTGCTTGCAGCGAGCATCCCAGGCGTCTGCAACATCCGTGTTGAGACGGGCCTGCCGGTGGACCGGCCGGCCATCGCCGGGTGGGAGCAGAAGTACGCCGTGCAGATGCCGGCCGACCTCAGGTCGTTCTACCTGGCCACGGACGGTCTGCGCGTCGCCTGGGACTACAGAGTGTCCCCGTCGGGTGAGTCGTCAAGGAGGTCATTGACGGAGTTCCAAGGAGCAGTTTGCCTCAGGCGCCAACGCCAACGGCTCAGTGACGCGTGCGTGATGGTACAGAGACTAGAACGTGCTTGAGGTGCAAGTGCTTCCACATCATGCGATACCTTCACTGGAATCATTGTTTTCCTCACAAGGGGTGTAACAAACACGCAAGGACGCAATGGTGTCCAAAGTGTGCGGTTTTATGCTTCATTTGCATGCAATGCGAGAGTTCATAATTAGTATAATACGAACATTTATTCCCAATATTACCAGCTCTCGCATTGCATGCGTCTGTATCGAAGGCCTTATCTGCCGTTATAGCCAAGGCGGCCAGCTCTAGGCTTGTTGGAACGCGTGACTGCTCCTCCGCGCATAGGCTGGCGCATGTGACGGCTGAGTCCGACAGGTGGTCCAGGTCCTCTCGAACGGTCCGTTGGTCAAGGTGAATGATGAGATGGTTACTGGTCCTTTTGTTGGCGAAGCCGATCACTTCTCAGTGGTGCCCGCAGAGGGTGACGACTTGCCAGCCTGTCGACCGCAGGGACGTGGAAAGAGCGATAACTCGTCCATCTGTCGGCGCAGGGGAACGGGGCAGATCGATAACTTGCCCACCTGTCGACGCAGGGGACCTGGGCAGATCGATAACTTGCCCACCTGTCGTCCGTAGGGGACCTGGACAGAGCATAACCCGCCCACCTGTCGTCCGCAGAGGACCTGGACAGAGCATAACCCGCCCACCTGTCGTCCGCAGGGGACCGCTTCGAGATCGGCCGAGCTGAGATCCGTCCGCTGAGTCAGCTGACGCGGCTGGGCGGCGGCAGACACGGCGCGGACGACGCACTCACCCTGCTGGAGCCGGCCGCGTCGTCCTCGGACTCCGCGCCGCGTCTCGGCGGCCGGGCGCTCTTGTTCGAGCTGGACGGCTGCGGCGGACACGGTGCGGCCGCTCGCGCCAGCGGCAGCAGGGGGCGGGCTCGCTCCGGCCAGCTCTGCCGGGACCGGGCTTGTGGTGATGATTTGCACACTTTCTCTATATGCTCTGGCGAGTTAGTAAGGAAGCAGGGAGCCCCGGCTGTTGCCTGCCCGGTTATTCACTGCCTCACACCCCCAACGTTAGCTGTCAAACGTTGGGCGCTCCGCCGTGTCAGGTGTCATGCCACGTAAAGTACCATGTCAGTGGCGCCTGTGTGCGCTGAATGTAACTGATGCCTGACAGAGCCATCCCTGCAGTGGGGTGGCGACTGGCGGTAAGTCTGTTCAGGCAGGCCTGAGCTTGTTCACCGGCCCTGTTAGGCAGGCCTGGTCTGCACGGTCTGCCAGCGCGGTAACAGTGACTGATAGAGCCTTGCTCGGCAGGCCTGTTCTGCCTGGTCTGTCAGCGCGGTAAAATGACCGACTGCGCCCTGTTCGGCAGGCCTGGTCTGCCTGGTCTGCCAGCGCGATAACTGACTGACAGAGCCCTGCTCGGCAGGCCTGGTCTGCCTGGTCTGCCAGCGCGATAACTGTGACTGACAGAGCCCCGCTCGGCAGGCCTGGTCTGCCTGGTCTGCCAGCGCGGTAACTGTGACTGACAGAGCCCTGCTCGGCAGGCCTGGTCTGCCTGGTCTGTCAACGCGTCGAGGCCGGAGCCACGCCGCCGCCACCTTCCGTCTGGCTGCTGGACGCCGCCTGCCGATGGCACCGTCTCGCCGACAACTTCCTCACCTACTTCCGCATGGTGATGGCGCACCTGGCGCTGCCGCAGTGGCAGTGGAAGTTCACTCCGGACGGCCTGGGGCAGTGGGCGAAGGTCAGGACTGAACGTCGTCGGGCAGCGCTGAGCCGCGTCGTGCGGATACCCGCGTCGCGGTGGCCATCAGGCCCTGACGCGTCACAAATCGCGGCGCTTGTTGCCTAATTTTGTGTGCTCATGAATGATGATATACGTGAACAACCGCAGCAGCGATTGGACTAAATGTCGCGCTTTGGGGAGGTGAGTTATTTGGATCAAAGCCTTTTCAGCCAGGAAGGACCATTTCAGGCCAATGTCATGAAGGCGAATGTATAATTCTAAATGCACCTGGGTATCCAGGACTCAGCCAGCACAGAGACTCCTGCACAAAGTATGTTCTCGGCGCTTGGACGGGAGAATCCACTCGGCTGGCGCATGCAAATTGTCCCAGATAACGGGCATCTCGAGGGCGCGGGAAGAGACCGGAATGTGGTAGAGTGAGCGAGTCAAAAGTTGAGAAGATCGTCTTTTCGTCGTTTTGCAATTTGCTTTTATGACTTACGAACAAGCCACCGAGCGACCAAGGCGATGGCGACACGCACAGTCGTGTCCGCCGTTACATCCGGTGCCCACCCATTGCCTAGCTTGAAACGGTCTTCGAGACACTGTTTTAAGCTCTGATAGGTGGTTGATGGTCGGAAACCGTCACCGTTCCGTTGCTTTATGATTGATCACTGTCCCCTACAACACACGACTTCTTTTCAGACCTGGATGACGCTGATAGGCCCGCACCTGCTGCCGTCTAGCGGATTACCATTGAACGACAGTTTCCGCACGTTCCCGGTGAACAGGGTCGACCCAGCGCTGTTTCGCACCAGGTCCAAGGCGCGGAAAGATCGAGAAGACAAGCCAGACAATGACAGCGGTGAGGGCAAGCAGTGATGCATCGCATGAGTGATCAGAGAAAGTGTGCCGAGGGAAAAGTAACATCTGTATTTAGATGTAATGCTCATTGGGTGATTCTGTTGCGGGAACAGAGACCTAGATGTTTAGGTTGGAAGCTTGTGTGAAAAGCAGGCTCACTTAGGTGGTGTGCAGAGCAGAACGAGCTGCAAAGTAATGCATTGAAATTAAACTTATCATAGAATCACGTATCTATATAACTACATTTGAGAAGGGAAATTGTCATGGAGACCATCGCGCGTAAGGTGTTACAAAACAACTGTGGAACCCTTGCTTCTTCGGGATATAGACACTACATTAACATTTAGTATGTCTTAAGCACGCAAAACGTTTGTTTCGTTTCGTTTATCGTCTCGCCACCCGACTTCATCTGGTCTTTATCACACACCATGCTTGAGGCAACTAATAAATATGCTGCGAGTAAAATGAACTCTATCAGCGCGATACAACTGGAATCTAGTCACGTATATTCGTCATCTTTATCAGGAACAATCCTCAACCTCTGCGACGCTCGCGCGACATAGAAACAGTGGTCGTCAACCCACGGTCCAGACCCATTACCTAGGCCGGTCATCCCCCGCATGACTGGTCCGCTGGAGGACACCGTCCTCATGACTGGTCTGCTAGGAGACACCGTCCGCATGACAAGTCCACTGGATAACACCGTCCGCATGGCTGCTCCGTTTGATGACACCGTCTGCGTGAATGGTCCGCTGGAGGACACCGTTCGCACAACAGATTCGCTGGATGACGCCGTCCGCTTGACCGTCCGCATGACTGGTCTGCCCCAGGACGGCACAGCTGACAACGAGGTCAGTCCGCCAGACCTGAGCAGTCGCACACCTGTGGGCACGGCTCTCCACCGCCACAGTTCGAGACCGCAGCCAGAGGCCATCGCTCTCCACCGCCGCAATTCGAGACCGCAGCCAGAGGCCATCGCTCTCCACCGCCGCAATTCGAGACCGCAGCCAGAGGCCATCGCTCTCCACCGCCGCAATTCGAGACCGCAGCCAGACGTCATCGCTCTCCACCGCTGCAATTCGAGACCGCAGCCAGAGGCCACCGCTCTCCACCGCCGCAGTTCGAGACCGGATCCAGAGGTCACCGCTCTCCACCGCCGCAGTTCGAGACCGGAGCCAGAGGTCACCGCTCTCCACCGCCGCAGTTTGAGACCGCAGCCAGAGGTCATCGTTCTCCAGCGTCGCAATCCGAGACCTGAGCAGGAGGTAAGCGATCTCTAGCGCCGCAGTTCGGGACCAGAGTCACTGTTCTCCACCGCCGCAGCTCAAGACCGAAACTAGAGGTCACCACCAGCTCGGCAGACGTCTCCTGGAGCTCGCCCACCGGTGCCGAGGGACAGCCGTCACGCGTTCACCGTGGGTGCACAGCGCGGCACCTCCGCCCACTGTCCGTCTCACCCGCCACCGGCCCGTGACCCCTAGCCGGTCACGTGCGGTTACGTGAACTCTAGGCGGTCACGTGACCTCTAGCCGGTCACGTGCAGTAACATGACCTCTAGCCGGTCACGAGCGGTCACGTGATCTCTAGCCGGTCACGTGCGGTAACATGACCTCTAGCCGGTCACGAGCGGTCACAGTGACCTCTGGCCGGTCACGTGCGGTCACATGACCTCTAGCCGGTCACGTGCGGCAGCTCGGCGAACCGTGCCGACGGCCGCCGCGGCTGGACCGGGCCGGGCTCGCGGAACACCGGGTAGAACGGCAGCCACTCGTCCTTGTCGCAGATCGGCTGGATCCGGTTGGCCAGTGTCTGCTGGCGGCTGCCGTCTTGCTCCATATTGCGAGGGTCCCCAGATGCATGGGTGTACGTTGAATTCCGCTGAAAAGTACAATGAGCGTTCACGGTCGTCGCAAATGACTTCAATAAACTCCTGCAATTGCAGTAATTTAATGTAACCAATGCGTGGTGATCCACATTAGCATGACAAATTTACTAACATTGAAGTAATAAACCTGTAGAGTGCTTTATCTTTTGTCCGTTTTAACGTTTAATGTCCATTTCATCCAATGCCCCCAAAATGTCCATTTTTGAAGCGATCAACGTTCAGAATGTTTCTGCCTCGCGTCCTGTTCACTGACACATAATTCTGCCTCATCATAACCTGGCATACAGCGCTAACTGCCCGCCGCTTTTTCTTCAAGCACCACAGTAACTTAGAACCCCCATGTAGCTGACCACATGGGTGGACGCCGCTGGCTGCTGATAGTACCAGACGCCCCGAGCCTTGGAGCGTGCTATTCTGAGGAAGACTTTTCTGCGATGACTGGAAAATGTCGCCTTAGGGTATCCCAACCATGCCAGTACTGTTAGTGCACTCCACGCACAAACACCCTGGACATGGTGTAGGTCACAGTCCTTCACTGCGAGTCTCTCCGTCCACCCAGCGGCCGCGGCCTGAACTCACGCCGCCATCGGTAGGCGTCTCCGAGCCGGCGTGGACCGGACGGACCGCCGGCCGGCGCCGCCTCGTTGGCCGGCGGCGGCAGACAGGGCACGCTGCCGATCACCACCGGTACGCACGCCCGCAGGCTGAGCGACGGGTCTGGGTGCTCCATCGCGATCTGGAGAGGGGTAGGGATCCGGGGTGGAGGAGAGAACATGTAACTCCTGACGAAACCATGTCGATGGGCTGAAGCAGGAGGGGCAGTGCAGATTCAGGCTCAAAATCGGCCGCCAATCATCCTCGATTAGAAAGTTGATCAAATCAAGCTCATCAAATGCGTATTAAACTACTTTTAGTCTGTCGAGATAGACCACGGAAAGCTTGGTGCACCTACTGAGCCCAGTTAGCTTGAGACAGCGTACGGTGCTCTCCTCAGCGAACCGGCGTCGCCATGACATGCGTCACGGGCGGCAGAAGACAGCGCGGAGCGGCGGACGGCACCTCGACGGCGTAGCGGACGTCCAGGAGGCGGCAGGCAAAGGTGGGCGGCAGGGGCGGCACCAGGAACTGGAGCCGTGCAAAAGTCTCGGCCTCTCCGGGCGGCAGAGGCCCGCGCTCGTCCCTGCTGACCAGACGGCGGTCCAGCAGACGGCTAGAGGACGAGCCCGAGCTGCTGTACGTCACCAGCTGCCGACAGACAGCGGAGGGGGAGGGGTCATCAGCTACCAATACACAACGGGCGGGGGAGGGGGAGGGAGGGCTCTGGTCATTAAATGCCGAAAAAACTGGATTGTACTCAGGCATCTATCGGACTACCTGCCGACGTCGTCAGCTGGCGGTGCAGGCCGACGGACGAGTGAGAGGAGCTTACCTGCAGCAGACTGAGGGAGGTGGAGGCCATCGTCCTGCCGCTGATGTTCATCGCCTCGGCGCTGACCGGGATCACCTGGCCGGGGGCGAAGCCGCGGCGGCTCACCTCGACCGAGACGGTCAGCGGCCCGGTCCGACAGCAGAAGCCACACAGGTGGCGGCTGCTGTGGCTGCGGCGAGGCCTCTGCCGACAGGCGCGCCACAGACGTCACTAAAAGCAGCCGCGGGCAAACACCGCGCAAAAAGCGAGCGCGCAGCAGAAATGCTTAAAAAATGCAATGCAAATACAATGCAGTGAATCTTATTCGCAAAGAAAATATTTCATACGCAAAACTGGTGCTACCCAAGCAGAATAGCAATATAATATATTACCTTGCGGTGCGTCGGATATGTTGCAACCAAAACATTCATCTGGAAACCAAGACACACCGCGATAAATGAAACATTGTGCTGCACAAAGTCAAGAAGTGAAAACAATTGTTGTTTTTTTTGGGGGGGGGGGGGCAGCACCGTTCTTGCTATTTAGGCGGTTAGCAAAAAATCTCAGAATAAAATTATTGCACTGCACGAACAACGTAGAACCGGCACCCAGTCCCGCATTCTCACGCTCGCGTCCGCCGCTGCCGCAGCCGCCTCGCTGGGTGGCGGCGGCGGATCCCGCTACACCCACCAGTACGTCACTGGCGAGGTTGACGTCGAGCTCTGGCACCACGGAGAAGGCGGCGACCCGACTAAGCTGAGGCAGCGGCTGCTGGCGTCGCAACACCGCCGACACCGTGTAGCGCACGAAGCCGTGACGTCCGGAGAAGGCCGGCGGCAGCGGCTCCGGCAGCCGGAACCGGAACCGGAACTGGTGCTCGCCGGCCGGCAACGTCGAGGCCGCGCCGCCGGAGCCTGCACGGTCGGAGTGGCTCAGGTGGGCGCGGTGGTGCGGTGGCTCTACACCGCGTGACGAGCGCGAGGGAGGGGGACAGGGTCTGGTGTCGGGCAGGGCTGAGCTCGGCAGGACCACGGCTAGCACCGAATAGATTAAAACGTAGGCAGGTAGGAGCACAGCAGAACACAGACAACATTCGAGCACTTACATGTTGGCGTAGCAACCTGATTTTTGCATGTTGCTAATGCACGACTTGGAAGAATGGCCCACGTCGTTTCAGTTCGCTCACTTTCGACAAAGCTTCAACAGCCGACCCAAGGAAGCACGAAGCCCGGCGCTACAAAACAATAAAAAATACATCTCACCAACCCAAACCAAATCCTAAATCGACATCGGCGGCACGAAGACATCCTGAACCGGCATCGGCAGCATCGGCCGAGAGGGCTCACCATTCACGCTGGGGTCGCCGAGGAGGCAGCGTTGCTGGTCGAGCAGCATCTCAGCCGCCTCCAGGCGGGCCGGGCCGCGGCCGGCCGACCGCTCCGAGCCCAGAGAGGGGCTGAGCGAAGCGACACGAGCGGCGCGCGGCCCCACTTGGCGTCACTCGCAGCAGCGAGCCGCCCAGGGAGCCGATCGGCGCCGAGGACGGACGGCGACGCGAGGTGGTCGCCAGGGTGGACGCTGGGGGCATGGAGGTGACGTGGTCGTGGCCGATGGCGGTGCGGACCAGGCAAGAGACAGACAAATGGTGCGTGATGTGCAAGTTTTATGCAGCAAGTGTTGTTCTTTTCAAGATTTGTACCATTTTATTGTTTTGTGGTAAGTATGCCGGACAGCATACAACCGCTACCCTCAAACCCCCTCACGTGTCTCTCTGGTCGCCCAAGGCAGCGCAGTGCGCACTCACTACATCCTTTGTTTTCACTGAGCTTCATACACGATAACCAATTTTCCCGCGGCAATTCCAAGCACATAACAGAATGATCCAGTCAATCTCTGATATCACTCATATCATTTCCCCTTAGACTGCGAGCATGCGCTCACATAGCACCGCCGATTTTGATTGACTGCACGAGGCAGCTGTCCCACCTTGAGCGTCTGGAGGAGCGGTCCGCCAGACGAGCGCCCCTGACCCAGGTCCGCACCGCCCGCTGCGAGTCCTCGAACGCCACCACGACCTCTCCGCGGCAGCGCACCTCGACGGCTGCGAAGGCGACGGGTCACACATCCGTACCACCCATGCTATGGCATACACCGTGCTCACACATGGCCTGGGCGTCTCAACATCGTCGGAGGCTGCGCCTGGTCGGCCATTCACCAGCTCGCTCCCATGCTTTGCTGTGGGCCTCATATGGTGACCAACACGGGTGTCGACTTGTATTCTTTTGTGAGGGCCCTAGCCCCCCAAAGTTGGGTTGCCCCCCAATGTTTCTGGCTGAAGTACTGCAAAAATATGTGTAAAAATGATAACACAAGTACTATCTTCTTTAATCTTTCTGCGTAGTGGCGTCTCGTACCACTCTCATAACAAAAAGTCATGGTTGCTCTCACCGCGAGATGTAAATAGCAACAGCTTATCAGATAAACGATGCAATAAACTTCACAGACCTAGCGTCATAAGACAACCAATGACTGGTGAGGTTAAAGTGAAAAGCTATAGAAAATGGGGATGACCGAAATCCTCGACTAACCCCGTCCCCGTCCCCACGACCAAAATGCGTGTTGCCTCCCATAACCGCCATAGAAGAGCGCCATCGGCGCCCTGAGGTGGTCTCTAAAGGCGAAGGCGTGAAGGCGAAGGTCTTCACATGCCGGTCAGATGAGACGCCTGCGCCCAGTGCCTACTCCCTGGATACAACCCTGCGTGTCTTCTGTTCTGCTTAGATCAAATACTTTTGAAAATTGCGTTCGATCTAAATAAAGTAGGCTAAATTTGGTGAGAAAAAGGGGGGGGGGTAGGTTGCCGGGCCTTCGATTCGGCCGCCCAATAATTTACAAAAATTGACGCTCCTGGTGACCAACTTATTGTGCATAGAGGATACAGCATTTCAAAGATTAAGTACACACATCAGGATCGTAGGTGGCCAAGAAATACCGATAATCGCAGTAAGGTTCTCTCGCATCGACTCTGAAATGACAAGTGATGCCACCTCAGTGCGAGCGCTGCCCCGCAATAAGACACACACCGAGAGCTCGGAGCACACATCGAGCTCGGAGCACACACATCGAGCTCAAAGCACACACCGCGAGCTTGGAGCACACACCGCGAGCTCCGAGTACACACCACTAGCTCCAAGCACACACCACGTGCTCGGAGCATACACCACGAGCTTGGAGCGCAGATCACGAGCTCCAAGCACACTGCAAGAGCGGAGCACACGTTGCGAGAGCGGAACACACACGGCAAGCTTGAAACACACACCGCGAGCTCCAGCACACCGCGAGTGTAGAGCACACACTGCGAGCTCGAAGCACACACCGTGTGCTCGAAGCACACACCGCGAGCGCGGAGCACACACCGCGAGCTCGAGCACACCGCGAGTGTAGAGCACACACTGCGAGCTCGAAGCACACACCGTGTGCTCGAAGCGCGCACCGCGAGCTCGGAGCACACACCGCGAGCGCGGAGCACACACCGCGAGCGCGGAGGACGTGAGATGCTCACAGGCGACAGCGAGCGGCTGCGGCGTGGCGACCACCACCCGGCCGCTGAGCTCCGAGCCCGGTAGATGGACCCCGGACGGCGCGTCCAGCAGCACGTGCAGCTCCAGCTCCAGCGGCGGGGGCATCCTGGTGGGCTGTGGCAGCCCATCCGGCCGCCGCGGCCATAGCTACGTGCCAGTGTTTGGCCCCGGCACGCGGCGGTCGGGCTTAATAATGCAGCGTGGGAGCGGCTGAGCGCGCCACGCGGCGGCGTCTGGGGCGGAGCGAGGTCGCCAAACGAAGGTATGATGGGCGGGCTGCTCGCCTCACAGGGGCATGACAGAAAGGCAGGGCTGTGTCGGCAGTCTGAAGAGGCCTGCGCGCGAAATACGAACGAATTTGGGGCCGTGGTGAGCGGTTCTAACTGTTTGTGGCAGTACTATAGCCCAGTGTTGTTTGAGGCTCCTCGCTATCCTGTGTTTGGTCTCACACAATATCTGTAAACAACAGCCCAGTATATTTGCAGCGCATCGTGACAAAGCATGATAAGCCATCCGTATGAAAACACCTCTCGCGAAAGACATGTTGAGCCAAATCCCCAGCGGTTTCACATCATCTACATGAAATGAACACTTCTGACGCCACAATCAAACAGTTGCGGACTGCACAAACGCATACGCATGTCGAACAGTACAAAGAAGTAGCTGCAAAATACAGCACCCTAGGACCTCACGTGATGCATGCTCATCAGCACGCCATCATGTTACAAAATGTGAGCCGCTCATCACGTCCACCTAGGTAATTCATCAAGCATTTAGTTCCTGGGATACCACAAAACATGAAACGTTAGCGTGGTTTCTGGGAAATGGCAACAGAAAAACGAAGGTTCCTTCTGCAGATAACATCACGTTTCAGATTTTAAAATGTTTAGTTCAGTATGCGCTGCCATATCACGGAGTTTCTTCAAGCAAGCGCGTACATGAGAAGGAAAACAGTTCAACCGGGAAAACGATAGTCAAAGGAATCAAATAGTTAGGAAAAGGAATACAATATTTGGGGAACGTTCGCGTGCGGGGCAACTAAACCGAGCTCCAGACTAAGCGGAACGACAACATTGATGGACTAGAAAGTAGTCCATGCCACAGTTGCGTACTTGCCTCTTGCTTTCGCTACCCTATGGGCAGTATATTGACAAGGGAGAGCAGGAGCTTCATAACTGCGTCATGCAGAACTTTATTATATAAACACCCACACATTGCACTGTGAGTTGTGAGTCGTACTCCACAGCCGTTATGGCACGAGACCCAGTCTAAGACCGCACTACCAAACCCCAATAACATAGCCCACCTCGCGTATCCCGCGTCTTAGACCTGGCGCTCCCGTCAGGTCCCCACGCGCACACCGAGGGAGATTCCGTACACTTCTCCCCCAGTCTGACCACTAGCCACGCTGGCCGCGCCGCCCCTACGGCCAGGCCGGCGGAGGTCGCCCCGCCCCTTTAGCAGTCGCCGGCGCCCCCTTCGAACAGCACCAGGTCAATGGGTACGTCGCTCTCCTCCACGGGCACGTGCTCCAGAACCTGCTGCCGGAAGGCAAGCGCCACCGTGCACGGCGGCTCCGACTGCGCCTGCCGGCATCGGCTCAGGAAGCGATCGTAGTAGCCGCGGCCGCGACCGAGCCGGTGGCCGGCGCGCGTGAATGCCAGCCCTGGCACCAGCACCAGCTGCAGCCCGCCCGACGCCAGCGCCTCCTCGCGCGCCTCGGCCAGCGGCGGCTGCTTGATCTTCCACTTGGTCAGCGGGAGCGAATCAAAGTCGGCCAGAGAGTGCAGCCGCACCATGTCCATGCGGGAGGAGCCCGATTCGTAGCGGGGGATGAAGCACTGCTTGCCGCTCTGCAGGATGTCACGCAGGATGTCCCCTGTCTGGATTTCGTCCTGCATGTTGAGGTACACTGAGACACGCTTGCTCTGCTGGTATTGTGGCAGGGCCATCAGGTTTTTGGTGACAACCTGGCTCTGTCTGATCCGTTCCTCCATGCTCAACTTGGCAATTTCCTCCTTCACCTTTTGTCTCAAAACACCCTTAGCTATCTTTGCTGAAGATGACATTCTTTGTGCCAAGGCTTGTCACTTCCCCAGTTCTAAAACAAAAAAACAAAAAAAACATATGGTCATTGTGAATTTGATGGATCAATTCATCCTGTACACAACACCTGTGGGGTGGACATGAATGCTACCAAACTCGAGGTAAATGGTGGTAAATTAGGTATGATTTAACTAACAAGTGGCAATCTTGCATAGGAAATAATTCTTCAGTATGCCTTCTAGTTCTGCTATATTCATCTGCATACTCTCACAAGTAAAACGCTAGTGAGAGTCCATGGTAAGTGGTGTATGCTGTGCATTTGAGGCACATCATCAAGTTCATTTGACTCAAACAAGGGCGACATATTTTCCTAGTTAACAAGTGATCATTTGTGATTGGAAGGCACACTATTGTTTTTATGACATGTTTGGTAAAAGCCTCTTAAGGCATATGGTCAACATGTTGCACTGCAATTCTATCAAACCTTTAGTCAGCATGCCAGGAAAAATCGCAACATGGCTCAAACCAATTGGGTAGGAGGGCAATGGTCAACAAAGCAATTTATGCTCAATGAAAACTCTGTTCTCATTACATCATGGACATCAATATGACAGAACTTAAATACGACTTGCATGCTTATCTTAATATATTTGGAACTGGAAGCGACTGTACTTTACTGACTGACTTGTGAGTGCAGGACACAGGAACTGTAATCAGCTATCTCATGGGGTCCCTTATTCATGAGTCATACATAGCATTTCTGGGTTTTGGACTGCAATATGCATCAATCACAGAAGAAGCAGGAAACATTTGCCTTAATGGCTTACAGGACTAAATATTTTTCCTAAGATGTAAAAAAGGTGTAGGTATACATTCCTACCTACCTAATGTTAGAAAAAATCATTGTACACCATTCATCGTGTTTAAGGCGGAACATATAGTAAATAATCTTAAAACAGGTAGATTCATGCTCCTACCTTCAAATTTTAATATTTATGGTAGTGAGCTCCTGAGCGCCGCACACACCCCACCTCCTCGACTCCCCAACGCTGTTTCTGCATTGCCGTTGAGTAATTACAATATTTCTGCTTATCAAGAACCATAAAAAATGTATGGGACCAAGGTAACAATAATAATGTGATGAAAAATGTTTCTTATCATGTCTAGGTACATTTATGAAACAAACAGGCCAGAATAGTCCAGAACATAGCCTAAACTAAACTAGCCTGGCCTGGCCTAGCCTAGCCTAGCCTAGCCTAGCCTAGCCTAGCCTAGCCTAGCCTAGCCTAGCCTAGCCTAGCCTAGCCTAGCCTAACCTAACCTAACCTAACCTAACCTAACCTAACCTAACCTAACCTAACCTAACCTAACCTAACCTAACCTAACCTAACCTAACCTAACCTAACCTAACCTAACCTAACCAAACCCACACCCTGTCCTCTTCAACCCAGTGTCCCACTGGCATCCATGTTCCATGCCATATATATGTACCATAATAAGAAGTTTTGTTAAGCCACCATATTCTCATTTTGCTTTTCATTCCCATGCAAAAACATCAGGTTTCCCCACTATGTTGACCAATCTACATACAATCCAGAAGACTGCTTGGATATGTAAGAAACACATTTTATTGAATTCTTGTTACCTTGGCCTCATATTTTTTATGGTTCTTGATGCACAGTAATGTTGTGACCACACAGTAATGTTGCAATCATGCGTAGAAATAGCGCCAGGGTGGTGGTTGCTACGTGTTTGCGCTCGGACGTTTGCTATCGTAGCTATTTAAATTCCAAGGTAAGAGCTTAGATGACTTGTTTTACGATTAATTACGACATGTTCTACCTTAAAAACGACGATTGATGTACAATGCTCCTTCTTAACATAAGGTAGGATTGTATATCCTGACCAACCTGTGACTAAAATCAAAACGATAAACCATTAATCCTAATCTTGCCTGATCAAAAATATACATTTTACAGGCTATGGTTCATGCGGCACAGTGACGCGACGTTGCACGATATACTCGGCCCGATGGTTCTTCACCTCGAACTAAGTACGAATAGACCCAGCTAACGGTCCAAATCAACAGTCGGAACTTCAAATTACTAGATTAGGCCACAAGTGCCGACCTGCCCCGAACTCATTGAGCGCAATGACCATGCATCGGATTGTTTTTACACGACTGCGTACCCTAAATATGGCAGTGTTCTCAATAGGAAGAGAATTAACCTTGAAGAAGGAGTAGCATAATACAGAACTTCATGAGATGGGAATAAAAGATAAAAGTGTGATACTTACACCTTAAAAAGACGTTATAGGTGTTGATAACGTTCAAAAATGCTGTCTATATTGATGATTTTGGGACTTTTTACGATCTTAGATAAATGTTTTTGAAATATTTTTAGCACTTTTACCCATACAACGCCAGAAACTCGCAAATGCCGTATACATATTTTGTATAACAACATGACGCAACATCTTCAAATGTGGACTATTAAGTATCTACGAGGTGTATGGCTTCAGGCTGGTATCGTTGGTATGAGGAAGTACTGGGAGTGGTAGGTCGGGGAGAGGTGGGTGGGTGACACCGGACTAAAACGAAATCATTACCATTGCATTTAAAGGATGACACTGCGTTAAATAAAACTTGTGAACAATGTAGCATTTGGCGACATGGTATTTATGGCTCGGATCTTGCCCAGTCGGGGTTTCTGGTGTATATCTAACATCGGTAATTTGTTGTATTTGAAGTGCGATTGCCTGCATCGAATTTGCGGTAAACTTATGAATGTGACCGCACAAAATAATGCCAATATTGTTATTTTAAGCCTGGAAAGCAAGCAATTCTACTCACGTGGGCAGTACACACAGACATAGAAGCTACATCATTCTTGGGCAACTGTACCCCAACATTTGGCTAGGTTTGAAATGGAGCCTGTGACAGAATATGGTAAAAAACAAAACATCACACTTTTGAGCTCCTCATTGTGGAATATTCACCTAGATCACACCAGGTTCAACTAATGTGAGGATGAGATGTGGATGGTTGAAGCTGAAACTGTTAATTATGCTGTCCATGGTTGGGCATCATTCAGCTCCTTCCCTGAGTTATGTGCTGTTACACAGGATAATTATCACCCCTGGTCATGCTGTTAAAACACTAACCAAAAAGTCAGTATGCTTTGAAATCAAACATCTGGAGCCTGCTGGAGTCCAAGTCCCTGGGACAACACAAGGCCTTCTCTGAGGTAAAATGATGTTTTCAAGTTCCACCAGGCCTTTATCATTCCAAAGGGGAGAAAGGGAGAAAGCTCTCTGACAAGTTAACATTTGTGAACCAGAGTTTTGTAATGTAATCATCTGCCATTTCAGGATTCTCAGTCAGGCCTCTTATGGATGATCCAGAGAACCTCATAGTACCCAAGGCTGGAAAAGGGGGGGGGGACATGGTCTGTACACTCTTGCTTGCACCCCTGGCAAGCCTGGCTTCACACCATACTGGACAAAATGCTGGGCATGCCACTGCAGGGTTCCCAGTGTACCTGGGGGTTCATGAAGAAGTCATAGGGGACCTAGTGTGCCTGGGGGTTCATTAAAAGTCAGGGCCCCTGTGACTGCTGAAGGTTTGTTTGGGTCTTTGGCTGTCAAATAGCCCCTATATACACCAAGGGTTTCTCTCCATAGCTGCCAGTGAAGAGTCTGGGTGCATTAATACATTTGAGTGAGGTCAGAACCCTATGTATTTAGGTTCCTGCTGATGTACACACATGGTCTTGTTCCTAGTGAGGTTGTTTTGGCCAGCAGACACAGCTCACAGCTATGTAAGCTGGCTGTGCATGCTAATCCAGTATGACACATCCATGATATATCCTGTTGTGGCCTGCTGACCATTATTGCTGGCATTGATATGCATTGTGTTCATTCCAGGTCAGATTCAGCATTACGGCTTGTGTGACTGGCAGCATGCCTCAGACTCATCTGACTGGGGAAGTGATGCACCAGCTGTCCAGGGACCAGCTGGTGCACATCCTGGAGTCAATACATGGCCCCAAGGACTTGTACATTGATCCATTGCTCATGAAGCCATTGGATAGGATAGCAGGTGCAGCACTTCTAAGGTAGAGCACTGATGTGTAATTTGATTGATAATGTTACACCTTTATGCATTGAGTATGAAAAGTGACTTTTGTAAACATAAGCAATGTTTTGTAAACTTGATGACAGTCTATTGAGGGGCATCAGGCATTATACAAAATACCTCTATAACTGTCATATTACTACTCAAGTAGGCTTGTCACAAATCATCCAATAATGACATGGATGATATGTGACTGCATCACCATTGCATTAATGCTTAGTATCTGGGCTGGTCAATGACTGTTGGAGATATGCATTTTCTTTTGCACCAGTTAAGTTGTTTTCTTCATTTACCACCACCACTATTCCATTTCCCAAGTATGTTTCAACAAATCTGTTTGTAATGGGCAAAGTTGTATCATTGTGTCTATGTGAAGATGCGCACAGCTCAGTGCTGCTTGGCTCTGGCCTTCCCATGCCATTTCCGAGCTGCTAGTAAGAACACCTGGGCCGCACCATCGTGGCAACAGCGTCTAACAGAACACGTCCATCGGCCCCGGCGACGTTCGCAGGCGGCACGGCGTGGAGAAGATGTTCCGCTTGGAGAGAGCCTCTCCGCCGCTGGCCGACCACCATCGCGTCTACCTGGTGCGGCCCAACCTGGTGCTGGTCAAGTACATCTGCGACCAGATCAACAGCGGCGACGCCGGCGCGAGCGACGCCGCCGCCGGCCCCCGGTTCCACATCGTGTTCACGCCGAAGGTGCGGTGCGGGAGCCAGGCGGTGTCCTCGGAGCCGCCGGGCGGGGCGCGTGGCTGACGCCTGAAGCGGCTATTTTTGCGGTTTTGCGGGGTTACTGTCGTAATGTGGAGCGATTTTGCTAGCGGATTTGAGCTCGTGGGGGTAGCATTCAGTGTGACGATATTCTGCGCGGTGTTGTGATGCGCAACCACTCTGCATGACCTGGTGTATTCTGGGCGGTAGCTGACATGTCATAACTGAACATTAATTCGTATGCCAGCTGTAGATTTTAATTGCCCAACCCCCTCAGAAACCTTGTACCCAGTATCAGACGCCTTTCCTGACAACAGTACATTTGTGCTGTGGTGCCCGATCGGTACACGCCCGACCCCTAGTTGCCATCTGGTCCTGCTGCTCAGGTGCTACATGCGTGTCGCGTGCTGCTGGAGGAGGAGGGCGTGCTGGGCGTGGCGCAGCTGCACCAGTACAGCTTCGACTTTGTGGCCCTGGACGACGATCTCTGGAGTCTGGAGATGCCCGAGTTCTACCGCAGCTTCTTCCTGGACGGCAGCACGGCGCTGCTGGAGCCGGTGGCGCGCGCTGTCTGGGGCCTCCAGACCCTCTGCGGCCTGATCCCACGTGTGCACGCGCACGGACGCGCCGCCCAGCAGGTGGGATGGGCCGCGCACCCGGCGGCATCACGGGCGCCGGTCTGAACGCCGCTGCAAGATGGGACACGGAGCGGAGGATCGAGTTTGTGCCGCCAGCCTTCGGTGGCGCTGATTCAGTGGCGCTTCAGTGCTTTCAGTGGTGCTTTATTGGTGCCAGCTACCATCATGTGGTAGTGATAACGTTCTGTGTGCTGCCGTGACAGTCACGAGATGCTTACGTGGTCTTCTACCGTTCGCATAACCTTCCACCATTCGCATTCTCTAGAACATCGTTATCCCGTCTTGTTAGATCGGTCGGTGTCCCCGAGTATTTGTTGTGGTGCGACCTGTGGGGTATTTTGGCCCTGCTAACATGATGGCACGAAGCCCAGCTCCCGCGAAGTGCCACCTGCTGCCGGCGCCGTCCGCCCGCATCCCGCCGTGCAGTGCGTCGCTGGTCCGCCAGGTGGTGTCGCTGCTGGAGTTCTACCGTTCCGAGTGGGGCGACCCGGGCGTGCGGGAGCCGGAGGTGGGCCATCTGGTGGTGCTGGACCGGGACGTGGACCCGGCGGCAGCGCTGCTCTCCCAGCTGACGTACTCCGGCGTCGTCGACGAGACGTTCGGCATCCGCTGCGGCGTGCTGGAGCTGACGCCCGAGGTGACGGGCACGGAGCCCGCCGTCAAGCTCATGATGCACAGCAGAGATCAGGTGGGCAGGGGCGACTCACTACCTGTGTGGGTGGGGGCTGGGGGTCGCCTGGCAACTGCTGCCGGACTACTGCTGAGCAGTCGCGGCAGTGGAGTTGGAGCGGACTCACCAGTGTCGAGACAATAGCACATATGAGTGCGGTGCCTGCGTACGTTCTTAATCGCTGCACAGTATAGGTGGCCTAGGTGGGATGGACAAGATGGTGAAGCAAGCATAGGATGTGATGAAACAAGTTCACTTTTAACTATGGTACGCTGTTAAGTAGAAAGAACTGTTCTGGACCACGCAATTTGGCTGTCTAGTAAATGTACTCTTCGATACGCCATCGCTTGATTTCGTCGTCGTACTTTGCACAGCACTGATTGGGAGCCAGTCGACGGCGGTTTTATCTGGAAATCGTGCTCACGAACGCCAGATATGAAAAGCTTGACCATTGCATTTGTTGGCCTTGATCGCCGCGTGCCTTATGGAATGGCAGGATTTGCATGACGTTATTATAGCATCGTGAATGCCAAGGTTAGCCTGAAATACTCCCCCTAGAAAGGTTCTACATCTTCGTGGGCGAGTAGCTCAGAAATTAGAGGGACTTAGGTCTTTAGAAGGGCAGGGCTGTGAACTACACCGAGTGATTTGCAAGCTTGCGATTTCAGTTCAAACCCACATACAAATGTGGAGCACTCCCTTTAGCATCTGTATAGCTGGTGAGGTTGGATCGATGGACGACTCCTGTCCGTTTTGCAGGGCGGGCGCGACGAAGGTCGTTCGTGCCGAGTGCTCCGGAAGCTGCCCCACTCACCGGGTGCCACTCACGTGTTTAAACAAGCCGCCTGCAGGGCAGACACGCACTTCGTTGCGGGCCGCCTGGGTAGACTGCTGCTTGTGTGTTGGCGCCCGGCGTGGTCGCGCATTACCACACGTTACCGTGACGGCTGCCGGTGTCGCCCTCGCCCCCGCCGGCTGCAGGGCTGGATGACCGGGCCACGCGGGAGCCCGCCGACCGCACGGCACGCCTCAGTTGTTTTAAAGCGACTTGTTCGAGTGACGGGGCCTCCGGCCTGGCGGCGTAGTTGTCTGACGGGTTGGGGCCGCCGGGGCGCCAGCTGCTGGATGTTGGCCTCGTGCTGCGTTCACACGATCCTCATATAGTGAGTCTTCTTTCTGCGGGTCGGCGTTGTTAGGTCCCTTTGTCGGCAGGTGTACCGGGACATCCGTGACCTGCACTTTTCCGCCGTGGTCCCAGTGCTGAAGCAGCGATCTCGTCAGCTTCAGTCGCACCACGCCAAACGGCGCGAGATGACCACTGAACAGATGAAGGCGTTTGTGCAAAGTGAGTGATGTCAGCATGGTGCTATACCACGGCGCAGGAGACGGCATCGGTTACAGATCACGACGTTGGGGCGTCGCTCACATTTAATTTTGTGAACGCATTTGCCATAAACGAAGTCCCTTGACGCAGGCAATGTTAGTGGGCCTGGAAGCTTTTAGTATCACCGGGATAAGGCAGACTGCGTTTGTGCGTTTCATTAGCTGCTAAAGGTTTCTAAATTGCATGTATTTGCACTAAGCTATGGCATGACCGTCTTCGTGGTTAACTATCCCAGATGAGGGTTTTCACGGATTGTTAGAGCATGACTTCCCAACTGCGCATGTTTTCTCATCACGCCCTCTGGTGGCTCTGGTCATTGGTATGCCTGGTCCAGTATGATTCTGGAGCCATCGCTGCAGAATCACGCAAATATTTATTTGCATGTATATACTTTCAAAGAGAAGGTGTTGCTGAAACACTGCTGAACATGGCTTCGTCACTAGGTAGCCAACAGGGCATTGGCAGCCAGCCAGTCTGTTATTATTACGATTGTGGAGCCATCATTACGATCATCATGGATCATGGATCATCATTACGATTGTGGAGCCATACCTGACGGGTAAAGCAAACACCTGCATTGTTTCGTAATGGCGGCGCACTGTTTGTGGGATTACACAGTGGAAGTCACATCTAAGTCACATCGCGTCTATAAGTCACATTAACAGCTTATGTTGGTTTTGCTGCCAGTAGGCCCTGCCAGCATACGCTGCCTGGCTCGGGTCACAGCCAGCTGACAGGAACTGTCTCAGCTGGTTGATGTGAAATGCCCAGGGTTTGCGGTTACGCCGCTGCTTATAAGGTAGACTGTACCGCAGGGATTTATGCCGATTATTTGTTTCGCTTGATTGGGTAAGCCACGGTCCATCCCCTGTATCTTCCTCGCAATTTCTGGCATCTTGAAGTTGTGTTGGCCATACCTTATTCCTACTTTGGTTTTCTCTAAGCTCATTGCACCATGCTTATACTAGAATGTTAATATCCGGCAAAATCGCGGCCTGTTGTTCACCTTTTTCGGTGGATTACAACGTGTTCTGATCTGTTGTGCAACTTGTTCTGTTCCGTCCTGCAGATATATAGTTCTTGAGTTTCTCGTACTTACTGTCAGATTTTGCCATTGGTAATTTCTGCGAGCTGGTCTTAGCTGCTACAGACCGGCTAGCAGAAGCTGTTCAAGCCGGCTGATGCCAACGCGTGTAGAAGTATGTCACAGGGGCTTTTCTTTTCCGTACGGAGTTACACAACGCACTCTAAAACAATGAGGTGTTGATACGCCAGGCGAGAGTAGGTAGGCTTGCCGGTGCATATCTGGTGGCAGGGGCTTCCGTCGGCGGCTGGTTTGCGTCACCCTATCTGTGCGTGAGCGACCGGAGTCGAACCAAGCGGACCTCTCGCCGCTTTGTGTACTCACGTTGCTAGGGAACACACCGCGCACACCGTGTTGTATCAGCCGTGGGCAGGAGGTCGGCTTCGACGTGGCGAGGCCGCAGTTTCTAACACTGGGGTTGGCTTTGAGCCATGTTCCACGGGTGGCTTCGGCTTCGACGTCTTCGTGCCGTCTGAAATGGCTACTTCGGGTTCAGCAGGGACTTCGTGACATTTTTAACCACTGGCCTCGGCTACAGATTTGAACGAATTTTGAATTAAAGACTTTCACTCCATGCAAACTTCAACTGCCTTGACGTTGTCCCGTTTATTTTTCTCTGCGGCTGCGGCCCTACTTCGCAAAAATGGTATCGCCTGTCCCTTATCCAAATATATTACGAGGGTTGTCAAGGCTGCGGACCGCACACCGATGGAAGTCAAAACCAGCCCAATGCTTTCAGAATAATTCGAAATCAGAGGACGGGCGGAGAACTTACTGTCCGAAACGTGGTTCACCGTCTTATGCAGAAAACGAGCACGGACGCCTTCCAGCGTAATGCTAGGGCCTTGTCTTAATCACTCTGCAAGGCGTTTGCGGTGTTCGCCCTGATCCGATGCAGTTTTAGCAGAATCCGAAGTGGTTTTGGCTGTGCAAAATGTTGCACACTGGATTCAACTTAGGCTTTGCTTTCGTCTTTTTAACTGATGTGGTTTGGGTTTGACTTCGCTTTTCCGAAGCGCGAAGCCCCTGACGTCGGCTCTGACTTTGCGTGCACAAAGGTCGGAGCCACTGGCTTCGGATTCGGCTTCCATGCCAGAAGACTGACCCTATTCTCATGCCTGATGTGTACCCGATGGAAGGCGAGGAAGGGGGAGGGGATGAATGAGTCGCAGTCGCCATCGTGAGTCGCAGCATACGGGGTGCAATCAACACAAGGCTGTCTGAACAAACGAGCCGTTCACAAAAGTCCCTTTAAAAACATGACACTCATGAACGTTGCTAAAGCGCGACATTGTCATGGCGTTCTTCAAGCGCGGTCTGTTTGAAAACAGAGCAGCTGCTCCGCGTCAATGCGAAAGCATTACCACGGAACTATTGGTGCTAGCCGGGCTTAGCGACATCGGCTCAATCCACTGGAGGCCACGCAGCTCTTGACACTTGTGTGATGCAAACGACGTTTGACCTCCGTCTCTGGGCGGCCTCAGGTGAGCTGAAGGACGTGCAGGCGCAGCATAAGTCGCTGGCCGCCCACATCGGCGCATGCGAGGTCATCATGAAGCGCAAGACGCGCTCGTTCGAGGACCACCTGCGCGCGGAGCACAGCATCGTCGACGGGCTGGACATGCGCGACAACCTGGCGTACATTGAGCAGAGTCTGGCGCGGCAGGAGCCGGCGCTCACCACGCTCCGCCTCATGTGCCTGTACTCGCTGGCGCAGGACGGCGTGCCGACGCGCGAGTACCAGGCGCTCACCACCCAGCTGCTGCACAGCCACGGCTTCCACCACCTGGTCACGCTGCAGAACCTCAAGCGGCTCGGCCTGCTGACCGAGCTGTCGGCCGCGTTCCCGACGCCGACGCCGGCGCCGGCGCAGACACCGACCGCCGCCGGCGGCGGCGGTGGCGCCGCCACGCGGCTGCTCTCGCAACTGCCGGCGGGCGTGCTCGGCGGCCGGCAGACGGCGCAGCTGGCGCAGAAGGTAGCGCAGAGCATCAACTTGGCGCGCCAGAGCGCCTTCAAGACGGTCACGCGCAAGCTGCAGCTGATTCCAGACGCCAGCGACAGCTACGACCTGCGCGTGCCGCCGGACGCCGGCTACGTGTTCAGCGGCGCGTACATTCCGGTGGCGTGCGCGCTGCTGCGCCTGCTGCTGACTGACGGCGGCTGGACGGCGGCGCCGGCCGAGGCCGCGCTCCGGCTGCTGCCCGGCCGGACGGTGCGGCTGCGACAGCGCGACAGCGACGCCGTGCCCCGCGTCGTGCTTGTGCTTATGCTGGGCGGCGTCACCATGGCCGAGCTGGCCGGCCTGCAGCAGGTGGCGCGCGCGCACGCGCACCGGCTGATCGTGCTCACCACGGCCGTCGTCACCGGCAACACGCTGCTGGAAGGCGTGGCCTGAGGCGACGCTGGTAACGGCTGGCACTCGCCGCACCCGGGGGTCGGGCGGTCGGCGCGACCGGCGCCAATGCTGGGGCCGCGGCGAGTTGAGGTGGACCTCAGATGTCATATCATGTGCGAGATGTTAAGGATGAGAGTCTCTGAACCGCGCGGCACGGGCGTGATGCGTGTGCTGCTCATGACTGCCTTCCCAGAATCGTTGATAGCGACAGTTAGTGGAACGAAGCAATTGCGGTCGTGGATCGGTTAGGCACCGGCTAGCATTGCTCACGCGTGGTATGTGCTTGTTTTCTGTTTGGGCACGAGTGGGGATGGGGGACTGCCTTGAAGCTCACATGATCTTCCGAAGATGCTCACGTGTAATAGTTTGTTATTTTGCGGTGACGATTGCGCAAGCTGTTGTACCCACGTACCCAATTTTTGCCGAGATGACGGTAATGCATTGACGCAATTCGGGAGCGAGCTTGCTGATGTGCTCCAACTTTTCAGCGAAGCATGCTCCTAGGGCATAAGGTTTTCAGTATGGGCCCAGCGTCGTCCATGAATGCAACACATTGTCATGCCACTGTATGCCGTCTTGAATACGTGGGAGTTCGTTGGATTGGACAATCCTCAGGCTATCATGTCGCCCCGCTAAACAATACTGAAGACGGTCTTCGAGATGTGTTAGCATCCTGTATTGCTCACATAAATCCTCGCAGATTGTTGCACTTGGACTCGTAAAACTAGATGGTTCCGAAAGCAGTTCATCTTGTTTCACATCTTTCGCCGGCCGGTCAAAAGAGCTGCTGCAAGACCCTCCTCGCTTCAGTCTACTGGCTTGGGCCAGCCCCCTGGCCCACTGACAGTTACCAGACCGTCGAGTGGCTGCCTGCGCCACGACGGCGAAACACCGTGACCAAGCTCCATCCGGCGAGTCAGACGCCCTGGCGACGGACGAGTCAGACGCGCCGACTAATCCAACCACGAAACCGGGCAGCGCTGGCAAGCTCTGTCACGGGAGCGAAACATTGCACCGGACTGCTGTGCCCAGCAATCTGTCACAGAAACAGCCCCCACCAGGCAAACGGAGCATGTCTGCTGCCTGCTGAGGACGGTGTGGAAACGCCAATTCAAGAATGAAGTTTAAAACGTCGCTCTATCGATTTTGCCGATCACATTACTGTTTTTGAAATTAAAATTCGGTCGGTGCTGATGGCGCTTAAAACTTTGTTCGTTTCGTTCCTGCGCGTGTTGCTTTCGCTCTGAATTAATCAGCAGAGAATTCCAGGCATGTGGATTTGGCGGTCGCAGAAAACAGGCTGTTTATGACTAAATGTTGGGACGAATTTTTGCTGATCAGGCAATGCCGCTTGGAATATCAACATTTCCGGCGCTGATGAGAACAATTCGGCGAGGATCCGGTGAAGAACCCCCGCAGGGACTGCGCCAGTTAAAGTTCTACGACGCGGGGAGACTGGAGTAATAAATGGCTGTTGGTTGATTAATCGTTGGCGCCACTTACCGCCGGGGAGATGGGTCGGCGGAGCGTGACTGTGCATGCATGAAACCATCCGTTCCGGGTCCGGGTCGACGACGCAATATCCTTCCGAGCGATTACCGACGTAGCAATAAGGCGTGCCCGCTTTACCGGGTCGCAGGAGCCAAGAAACAAGCACGGGCAAGACGTTGATGTCGAGTGGCAAGGCGATGTGGTGCGAGTACAGACGTTGGAACAGTTTCACGTCTTGTGGTGTGTTGCATTGAGATTCGAATGCATTGGAGGCCTTGCGGACAGGATTTACTGAATTCGATTCACCTACCACCCATGGGGCTGTGTTCATATCCAGGTCCATGCCCATCCGTGACCCATTTCCACTCAACTGTATCTACCCGCCACCCTATCGTTTGCGGTTTCCAGTAATCAATCCGTTTCTAAATTTAGAAACATTTAAGGGACATTAACATCCAAACTTGCTCCTTCGTTTCGTATTAACAAACGTGGTGTGAATTGAGCTAATTTGACCAAAACTGGCGCAAGCAGGAGCATGGGATGATGCTTCTTGAGAAATCTGCCCGATGTTTTGTAAATGTATCGCCCATATTCGTACCCCCACCCGCTATTTTGCCGAAATTTTTCCCAACCCAGCCCGTTAGCCAATCTACATGGGTACCCAGCCCATGCAGTGCTTTAAGACGCATCCGTAAAAAGTGCACCTTTCCCGCACCAATAAGTGTACTCTTCTTGGGATATCTTTCCTGCGCCAAGTAGGAGTGCACTATGTTCCTCCACGCATTATAGTCAAAGAATAAAACAGGGCTTATTGATGTCCCGGCTGGATAAGGTCTGAGAGACGGAGACGAAAGGTAGGAAATGGAACATGGGAGGCCGGCGGGCTGCAATTTGGAACGCGACAGGCACTGAGCGCTGCCTCCAGCGACTTTCTCCCCTGGGGAGTGAGCTGCACCAATGAAGTGTGGCCAGACGTACCGCGCACTTGTTCGCAATATTTGTGGTTGCATTTCACCTGAGGCTAAGGTCAAGGTCATATCTGGCCCTCGATCACGGTTCTAGTTTTGCATGTAGATCGCTTTCGAAAGAGTTCCAATGCTTTTTATTGTAAGCTGATTTGTTCGAATAAGGCCCGACCACTTGACCCTAAATTGCACGATTAGTGAACGGATCCTGCGATAATTTTTTGGTGAATATTGCAGGGGTGCTGCTCGTTAACATAATGTATAAATACACGAATCCAACCTCATGCGGAGTGCCTTCCAAACCCCGTACCAAGTAGTCAACTTGGAAAGGGGAGAGTGGGGTGGGTTTTATCATGTTCAAGTAGTATTAGGGCGATCTAATCCAAATATGTGCGGCGGATGGCTTCCGGTGGCAAACGTGCGCACACCTCGGGATAAACGCGACAACTTTTGTTTTTGCGTGGCCTTGGGGACTATTGCGATCAGTTTAAATGTGTGTTTAAGGGCTTACCGCATAAGTAGACCAATGGAAGACAATACTGAGTGCTGGAAAAGTGCATATCTCGTATATACTGCGAAACATTTAGCGCATGCTTGCCAAGGACATCGGGATGACGCGAGTTTTCTTCCTAAGATGTCGGGCGATACATGTTTTATCAGCTGTGCATGTGATATGTTGAATTAATGATGCAATGTACTGACAATGTTTTATTGACTGACTTGCTGTCAATAATTGAGGGACAAGTTTACCATGATTTATTGCCACCCAGACATGAAGTTGACGTTTTATTGCCTATTTAGACCCATGGTTCCTACGTGAGAAGCCAGGACCGAGGTGGCAGTAGTCATTAAACAAATGCTGCTTGATGAAAAAGGCGAACATAAGTCATGTCACAATCAAGACGAATTATAAATCAAACAGATGGGCGTGCTTGGTCTTCATGTAGCGCATTTAGCTTCCTTGCGACGCAACTTACTCTACGACATGAGGGCCATAAGCACGTCTCCCCCCACCATGTGATACAATTTATCCCAGGGTGGAGCAAGTGGTCTCACTTGAAAGGTCATTCAGAAGTTTTTTACCAGAAGACGAAGACGTGATTTTCCCATATGAAGCTGAAGGCTATATATAGCTGTCTACAGGTATAGGAATCTCAATCCTACTCTCACCAGTTGTAGCAGGAGGGAGCTCGAAGTAAAAATTGTTGCAGATCTCCTTACTCCCCCCCCCCCCCCCCCCTATATGATTGGTAATGACCTTTCGACGCAGTAAGCCAGCCTCTTTTTCAGCATTTTCTGCACAATCTTAGTCCACATGTTGACAAGAATGTCACAAAGCACGCTGATGACATTCATATGCTTGTTGCTGGGCACAAACGTGGCATTACTTCACTCGTTGAGCGCACGGAGTGGGCTCTCTGGACTTTGTTCTGATGGTTCAGTCAAAAAGAAATAAAATCCGACGCATGTTGTCGTTACGGGTGGAATAATTGTTCGGACTGTCGTCATCGTCTGGTATGCTAGCCTGTGTACACTTGAACACACCATACGAAATGTCACCCGAACATCTTCGGGGCACGCATACCAAGTAGCCTTTAGTTACGAACACGGTCTGATGTATGTTGCTATTGAGCATTTTTATGCTAAAACACCAGACAAATGACTACAGTCCAAACATTTGTTCCATCTAGTGTTTTTTTTTAATCTCGAACTCGGCAAATGCTCCAGGACAGTCCGAAAAGCAAGCGGTGCGACTATGGTGGACACGCATTGAGCACGTGGAGAATCTCGGGGTAATCATGGCTCGGATCTTGGCTTTCGAAGCACATAGTAACAAGCTGGTCACAGGGGGCATCGGATCGTCCACCGGTCCGAGCGGTACCGGGCACTGTGTACCCACTGTGTACCCACTGTGTACACTGTGTACACTGTGTACCTGTGAGCGGTACCAGGCACTGTGTACCCAAGATGTTGAACCGATGTTCGTGAACGGTCCGATGGCCTCCCTGAGTCAGTGTTATGCCACATTGTACGGTAACTCAATTGTCCAGTCCACGAAGCGTGCCCAGTGGCTGCTCATGTTCTGCACGAGAGCGGCTTCCGGGGGGTAACGGACACCAGTAGGCGTGTGACGCTTTAAAGGGAGTGTTGAACATTTATATGAGGTTTTGAACTGAAAGAGCCACGTTGGAGACCTTTCGGTGCTGTTCACAATCCTGCCTTCTTAAGACCTAAGCCTCTCTACTTTCTGAGCTACACACCCGCGAAAATGGGGAAAGGTATACCGGAGAGAGTATTTCAGTCACCTGGGCATTAATGACGTTATAACGACGTCAGTCAAATCCTGTCATTCCATAAACCATGCGGCAACCACGGCCAAGGAAAGTGATTGTCGAGGCGTTCATGTCTGGCGTTTGTGACGATGATTTCCAGATATAACGGCTGTCAATTGGCTCTCAATCACTGTTGTGCAAGGTGCAATGACACACTGCAGGTCTAAACGTAGGTGTAGCCATATTGTATCGTCCTCACTATATACTACCT